TCAGCAGCAAATGGGTGGGCCACTTGCTCCATCTGGTGCTTACATGATCTCCTTGTGTGGTTGGTGGGTACAAAGTTTGGTATTTAATATTTGATTTGCTTTTGTAAAGGTTATAGAAATACAGCTGCTATGTCTATATGAGGGTGTCTCCTCACCTGCTAAGTTCACCACCTCAAGGACTCCTGCCACCCTGTACCAAGCGCCATGGGTCCTAATGACTACCCCAACCAGGCATGGTACCACTGCTATGGCATTCTACCATGGTGCATTGCTCACCAAACCCATGGTAGGAAGCCACTATGAGACTCACATTTTGTGGTATTCACCACCACTAAGGACATCATCTACCATAGAGTGCCCGGTGTACCATCGGAGTGGGCCTCTAAGACATATTAATTTTCAAGTATAAAAAGCCTTAAAGATTTGTAAAAGGGGGGGACTGAAGTGGCGATGGCGTGTCCTTCACAGACGTCCAGCCCTTACTGGCATTCATCAACCTGACAGAGCTCCTCATCAGCTCAAACTCGGCTCCTATCCTGGGCGATACCCACATTGAGGAGCTTTCCGACGCCCTTCCATCTCTCCGTATCTTACACTATTTGTGGAGTCCACAATCAACTCAGCAGACCTCCTCTAGCTACTGGTGGGAGGATAGCGGAAACGGCGACGTCATCACGTTTATTGGCGTTTCTGCATTGTTGTCGAATTGCCCCGAACTTGACTCGGTCGCGCTTATCATTGACGCTCGGTGCACCAGCAATCCATCTCTGGGAGACATCAAGGCAAGGTCAGGTTTTGGTTCGCGTGTCACAGAACTTTCCCTGCGGTGCTCGCGCGTTGATGATGCGGAGTACGCGAGTGGATTCCTCAAGGCCATGTTTCCGCGCCTGGTCAAATTTTCAACCCTTGGCTCACGTTGGGATTGCGAGCCGACTTGGGAAATCGTCAAAGGAAGCATTTTTACTGAAGCACTGTGACGACTTGGGTTGCAAGTAACGCATTCGATATAATTACGCCAGGTAGAGATAGTAAAAGGACTCTTTATAGTATGATGCGTCATTAAATTATGCGATACGTGTAGACTATTATAGTAGCGCCAGCGGGTCGCTGTAAAGTATGCCTTAACGCAGCTGTTACCATTAAAGATGACATACATTCCTATCATCTAGAACGCACCAATCCATGCTTTCGCCACCCTTAGCCCGTGTATTGTTAGCAGGGTTTCTCAGTCGATGTCGTACTCTGCCCTCCTATGCGTCATTGAAGCCATCAAACCTGCCTTTGTTGGATGAGGGAGAGAAGGTAGGGTAACCCCGAGACGAAGAACGGATGACAGAAGTTCCATACATCGCCATGTTGGAGGTGAGGGATTTTGTGGAAACCATACATGCCAAGCTGCCGGAGGAATGAACCGAAGTGCTTGTGCCTGTACCAGCGCGCGAGAACTTCGCTTATGAAGCGTTCTTGGTCGAGGACTTGGGTGGCATGGTTGAGAAACACCGTGTGGCAAGGAAATGGATTGTAGAAATGTTAAAGGGTATGAAAGATTTGGATACGGAAGGACCGTACAAAGGAGATTAAACAGACAGCGTACCGAAGAATGAGTCACCCGAGTCTGACCACCGCACGACGTCCTGGCTTGACGGGTCGTTGACTATTCTGCGATCATATCAAGTTAGCCATGGCGTGTCATACGAATGATACGGCTGGTTACGCACTCATACAATGTCTGGACGAAAGGGCGGACAGTCTGCATTGCTGGCCAGGTGATGGGGCGAATAGCTTACGGGGGCTAAAGCAAGGCCGTTCTGGTTGCCCGTAGATGAGAGAAAGGGGCTGTAGGCAACGCGGTGGCTGTTCCTGTCAAGGAAAGATATAGGGGCAGTCAAAGGGCCTATTCGCTTACTTGTTGTTGCCATAGTGCTCTCTGTATGATAGGCCACGTGTGCGGGGAAATCTATGAAGTACTTACTTTCCGTCCTTTTGCTAAACCAGGAGGGACATCTGGCATAAAAATGATAACGAAGGCGCTGAAGGAGATTAAAATGAATCGCTGAATTTATACATCCACCTCTGACGAACTGTTACTTGAATACTCGAGAGCGCTACTTTAGACGCATCAAAAAGATAAATACACCCTTATCCAACCGTAAAATTAACTCAGACACGACCTGTCTCGCTGGATTGCTGAAGTTGAACGATCGCTGAGATAAAGCTTGACAGAAAAGCGTCGGAAGGAACTGCGCACACTGCCTTTGTAATGTCCGAATTTGCCGAGTTGGTATACACAAGAAATGATTTCCTCCATGAGGGTGTGCGAGCGAACACGGTGTACAAAAGCTTAAGCCAGGGCCAGGTTTTTAAGCTTACCAAAGTCGGGTGTTCCCAAACCGGTGACTATTATGATCGAACAATCAATGCCTCTGTAACTCTTATACCAACGGCATTAATGTGAGACTCACCAGGATCCCATCCCTTCGTAGCCTGTCACAAAGGACATCCATTGTGAGCCCTTAAGTCGCCAAAATTGACAGAGAGCTCACGTTAAATCCGTTGGTCCCGCATCCAGGGTTGCTTCCCTCCGTAACATCATTCAGACCAGCAAAGCCCGTAGAGTATAGCCACGGGTTCAAAAACCCGAGTGGGCCCTTGCCGGCCTGAGTGCGTGCATCGTTGAGCAACGCAATAACCGCCGCGAAGGCGGGCGACGAGCATGAAGTACCGGTGTTATTGACGGCGCGGCCGTAGCACTCGATAAAGTAGTTGACGCCTTGGGCTGAGACGTCCGGGTATCCCTGGTCAGTAAATATTTAGTCAGTTATGAATACATTGAAGGGTTAGATGTCGTACGCGTCCACTCCTGTATGATACTGAGTAACGTGCTGCCGTGTATGATAGAGGCTACTCAAGCGTTATAAAGTCCAGAGCATTCATATCCGAGATATGAGAGGTAATCCTTGACAGCATGGTCCTGCCATGCAGGGCGAGGGAACTACAAGAAATGTGAGTGTGCGATACGACACTGGTTGAGTACATGCGTACATAGTTGCTGAAGCCTCCACCACTGACAATGCCGTCGTCGTTCCCGGCAACTTCAGGGATTTGATATGTCATACCAACCGAAGTGACGCTGCAATACTGTTCATTCGGTGACACGTGACAGGAACGCAAAGTGGCGGTATCACGTACTATGGGCAACTTGCGGGAAATACTGGGGTGAATGGGATGACGGTACCGTTACTATAACCAACCCCAGAGTCTCCCGACGCATAGAGGACAGAGACACCACGTGCACCTGGAGGATCATGAAACTCGAATAGGTATGTTTGTAATGAAGGCAATCGCAGAACGTACCCAGAGCTGCAAAGCTTTGGCATATCTTGTTTGAAAGAGGTATAGAATCTACGGAAAGTAATGTTCAGAAAGGAAGACACATCAAGCGGGCAGAATCTACTCACTTGATGTCTTGGGTTCCCCGTAACTAGTCGAGATGACCTGAGGTGGGTTAGTCTGGTTCAGGACGAAGTCGACGAACTGAATAGATGGGGGGTTTTTAGCGACAAATCCAAGTGATTGCTCGTAAGTACAGCCACTCACATCCAGCGTTCCCGTTCCAAACGTCCAGTTGACATTGGGAGGCTCGCCTGGGAAGCCACCGATAGTGTAAAATGTGGCCGGCATCGGGCGCGTCAGGCCGAAAGCGTACTGGACGTCCAATTTGGCCTCTGAGCCTGGATCCGTTTGATTGTTCGTCCCACCTATCAGGATACGGGTTAGGCGTCCAATTAAATCAGCTAACCCACATGTATCATGTAACCAACCACTCACCAGTAATCGAGACAACAGAGAAGTTAGACCCCACAGCCAACGGCACCTGGATTTCAAGAAGTTATCCCAGTCAACGTAGTTAGCCCACTGGTCGCTGAAGCCCGTGACCGCGATGGCATTCCCGTTGGACGTAGACGGCGTGTAGTTACCGATGATATAGAGTTGCCGAAGACAGTCGGGGGTGATTTGATACTGGCATGAAGGGTCGATGGCGCCGTCAGACCGAGGGCGCGCAGGGAGCAACTTTTATTCTTGAGGTGCATTACTGATCGAGTCGCCCTTAGTGTTCATGCGCGGAGCAGGTGCAAGCATGGTCAGAGGGTGGACGATATCAATGTGATCGTGAAGGACCTCCGGGAGACTGTATTCGAGCGTACGGATAAGACTCTCTTCGGAATCGGTGTGCCTGTAGAGATGGAAAGTCTACACGTACTCAGCAACAAGGTTGGTTAAAAGTGGACAGCAACGTGCTTACCCGTGTCGAACATGGACTCCGCTACTCACACAGGGACGCTGACCATCATCCAATCCCCCGCTGCAGACTGCTTGACCTTGGTTCGGTTGATCCCATGCGCAGCAAGCCAGTCGTCAACAATCTTGTGTGTGTCAGCGTGAGGCGCCATGAGCTCATGCACCTCTCCCTTTGAGAGATGCATGCCATAACGCCTGTGAGAAGGGTCGCTGATCTCGTGAAGATGTTGCTCAAGTTCGCCAGAACGAGGCTGAGCGAGCGAGATCTGGAGCTGAAGCATAGTGTCCGGGTGTGCTGCCGAGTGCTTGACCCATCCCATCCAAGGCACTGAGATGCTCTCCTTGACCTTGTGTAGGAAGCCTCTGAAAGCGAGAGCGGATGCGTTGACAAGAGCAGCGCTCAAGAGACCAAAGAAGATGGACGTCTTCATCCTGTTACGCGAGGCGAGGCCGAGGGAAGGGACGAGGTGTGACGCCGCAGAGCTACTATTTTATAGGTACAGACCTTCGCCCGTCGTGTACTTCAAGGCCATGGCGATTATGACCGATAACCGTACCTTGCTGGCTTTACCTCCGATAGCAATCAACAAGCAACGGGCTATCAAGACCGCATTATGACTTCCCCCGGGGCTGGTCAACGAAATCATCAAGTGGCCCGACTAGGGCGACCGAGAACAGGGCAGAGCGGGAAATACCGCGACAAACGAAGCATGCCTAGTGTATACACGAGACCGAGCGCCAGGTTCATCCCATAACCCAACGTGCTGGCCGTCTTGGATGCATGTTGCGTCGTTGGTGAGGCCTTGATGGCGGTGGGACAGTCAGTCCTGGAGAAGACGACGACGAGTGACCTCGTATAGCAGGGATGAGTGACTACGAACATGCGCGAACACGCCATGTACCGACTACGCTGGCCATGCCGGCCCTAAACTACGCATCGTGCCTTCCTCAAGGCTCGGTCTGATCCTCCCTAGTCCAGCGGGGAAGCGTGGTGGGAAGTGGTCCGCCAACGGTGGCGTGGGAACAGCCTACCGGAAGCTAGAGGCTCGTCAACGTCAATGCCGCTTTGATGCCGCTATCACCTTTGATTGAGCGAACAGCATGCCATGAAGCTATCGTTCGGCCAGTGATGCTAACTCAGGAAGTAATGGACGACGGAATGATTGAGGCGGTATTCCTGTAGCTAGTACACACACCAGCAACCTTAAAGCCATACACTAGCCCTACAATTCATCGAGTTGGTCCTCATCGCCCGTGGTGATGGTGGACCACTCGCTGTTGTACCTCTCTCTAGCGTGAAAAATGGAAAGGAAGCTGTTCACCTGGGTCCACCGATCGCTGTACGTGGTGTCGGCTCCTGGAGCCAACTTCCCTTCCTTCCACGCCTTCACTTTCAAGACGGTGGGGAAGTGTAAGTTGAGGAAGGAAGCGACAAAGGAGGGATCGTCGATGGGGGAGAATCCGAAATCCAGTGATGTAACCTTTCTCCTATGTCCAGAGAAAGACGGTGGCAATGGGTGGCGCGTTGTGGCATCAATAACGAGCGTGACGCTGTGAAGCTGAGGGCATCCGTTCCACAGCGCCGCAAGCCCGCGAAGTGATGGCTTCTTGTAGTCGTCATGATAGCGATCAAATCCGGCCAAGTGGATAGTGTGCAGGCGAGGAAACGCAGATGCAAAGGTATTCATGTCTGCGTCGTCTAGAGAGAACGAAACGCGGGTAGCGATGTGCAGCGTCTCGAGGCTCCTGTAATGCAAGAGAGGCTTGAGTGAGACGATGCTTATAGGCGCCGTTCCGGTCTCGGTATCATCCGGGATAGTGGGAGCGGATCTATGCGGCGTCCACAGCAGTATCGTCGACAGGCGCTCAGGATCGAAGCTGGACCCCGTAGCGTGCAGTAATCTGTCAAGCTCCCGGCCTGCATCGGCCTGAAACGATTGGCATCTGAGATTTTCTACTTGCGCAAATCCTGCAACGTTCTCCAAAGTCTTGGCGATCCCACCAAAACTAGAGTGGGCGAAATGCACGGTGCGCAGTTTACGAAAAGGGAGAGAATGGCGCCGCTGGTGCGAGGGAGCGCCTTCGTTAAAGTTGCTTGGTGGGCGCAAGATCAGGTCCTGGAGAAGCGGAAGGTTGGCAGCCGCTTGTAAAAGGGTGACGGTGCAAGGAAGATTGAGCTGCAGTTGACGCAAAGATAGCAAATGAGGTTGAGCCTCCCGTAGCACACGAGCAAGGGAGTTGATGTCCTCTCCACCCGCGTGACTGAAGTCAAGTTTGTGCAGATCCGGGCAGGAGACGCTGGCGATGGAAATCAAAGGGAAGAAGGTCGATGGTATCGCTGTCAGGCTTAAGGAAGAGAGCTTGGGGCCAAAGAGCAGGCGGATAAAACCTCCAGGGAAGGCGGCAGTCGTACCCCAGAAGAGATGTCGTAGGTTGGGTAAGATGGGAGGGTTAGGACAAAGACAGATGGCGTCGAATGCCTCTGGGGCAACGCTGATAGCATTTCCACGCTGAGACAGTTTTCGCACGCGATGCGAATTCTGGTTAAAGACGGCCCAGTCGCTAAGCTGGAGCGTACGAGTGATGACCTGTCACCGAGGTTAGCCAAATTCCGTCTACGTTATCGAGCCCTCAGGGCTCAGTACATGGCACATACCAAAGCTCCGTCTACCGCCGACCAAGCATCTCGAGGAAAAAGCATGAAGAGTCGCTCAATAGACGCGATCTCGCCATACAGCACGTTCAGTGCCGGATCCTGAAAAGCCTTGCATGTACGCGCTAGTCTAGCGAGGTCTTCGCTCGATGAGTCAAGTTGGCTGTAGTCCATCAGCTCATCGCAGATCTTGTCGAGAAGCTCGGGGAATAGGAGACGGTTATGCATCTTGGCTGGGGTGTACAGTCAGATCTCCAAGTTTATCAGCTTCACAAGCCGAAGACAGAATCACCGTATAAGTTTGCGTATCACAAGTAAGGCAGTGTTAGAAACTAGGGCGATGATCTGTCAGTGGCCGGAAAGAAGAGGAGGTAATGGCAGCCAGCAGCAGAGGAGATGGTTGTTTTTGCTTCGCCCTTCCAACTGAGGCCAAATGTCACTGAACGTCTCCTTAGAAACCATGCTTTGTCTGTGACACCTGTCAAATGTCGGTCGGTCGCAGTTCGTCGATTCCCAAGATTATTTGCCTGATAATTTTGTTGAAACTCCGACCGCCAATCTTCAACGGGCGCTTGAGGTTTCTGCACCTCAATTTATTGAATTTCACGTCTCAGGTGAGGACATGCGTAGACAGTCTGGCGCGAAAAACTCAATATGGCGTCCTTGACTTGGTCATCCCTTTGTCGCGTCGACAATGGTTTGTCATCTCTTTCGTAGAGCATGTGCGAGATTAACTCTCGTCAAAGAAGCGCGCATTGAGTCAGTGACATGTATCACTGATCAAAATAACCTATGCTAGGGGTGTATCAGAAGAAGTGAAATGGTCACTGTGTGTATCTGTATCACTTACCTACAGTATACCTCCATAAGTCCCAAAACCGCTCCATACTAACCGCAATACGCACCATACGCTCACCAAGTGCAGCACTACCAGCTGCCCATATTCCACCAACAGACGCAGCACCATCCAACAGCGTGGCGCTACCCATCATCCCAGCCGAAGCAAATGCATCCACAAGCATGTTCCCCCATAAGATCGTCCACCCGAACGTCCATATCCAACCAAGAACACCACTGACCTTCCGCCCGGTGTACGTGATGAACGCGTCCTCGAGCACCATCCCCACGCCCATCATCGTGAATCCACACATACACTGCCAAAAGCTGACGTCCGCGCTGAGCGAAAGCAGCCCGACGTAATGATACACCCCCGACGCGCCGAACGCGCCAAGGACGTACCCCATACGCTTACCCGTTCTCCCCGCCAGTGTCCGCCCGATGAACGCGAGCGGGTAAGATCCGGCGACGAGGAAGACCTGCCGCAAGAGCTGGTGCCATCGGCGTCCCCAGAACTCGCGCAGGCTCGTCGAGCGCCAGGGCTCGTCAAATGCGGGCGGCCACTGGGCGGGGTCCTGCCCTGCCAGGCTTACGGCGAGAACAGCAAAAATTTCGTACTCCCAGCGGAGGACGGCGTACACGAGGGTGGCTGAAAGGACGGAGAGGATGCTAGAGCGGGCGAAGCGAGGGATGGGGGGCAGGGATCGATCGAAAATTGTTCCTCCCGACGGTGTTCCGATGGAATCTGGGGCAGACGCCTGAATAAGCGCGTGCACGCATGCGCATAGGAGGCCATGAACAGCTACGGAGGCAGAGGTACGCAGGCAGAAGGAGGTTTTAGTTTGATTGGGAGGAGAAGGGGGAACGTGGAAGTTTTTAGAACTCGACCATCCAATGTCGCGAAAGCCGCTGGTGAGGTCAATAGCGTCGACCACCGTGTTGAGGTATTTGGAAGGTATGGCCTCAGGCAGAGTTTCGCTCGCAACTTGCTTCAGTGGAGTGGAACAGGGAATCGGTGTGCGAACTAGAGGCCCGTCAAAGAGTGACCAGTCGATCATGCGTACTGAGACCGTCAACAGACCAAGCTGCATCGTCGCGAAGACAACCTGCTTGTTAACTACTATTTGGTATGATGAAGTTCAAGTACGCACGATCACATCCAAGTTCAACAATCCCAACCTCTCATATGTCAAGTAGATGTCCACCGCTAAGCACCCTCTGAGAGCCAATACAAGTGCAACAGGAAGTACAGCGCGCCGAAAACCGAGTGTATTGGGTTGAATGACCAGGATGGCCATGACGAAGTAGCAGACGAGCGGTGGAGCAACATAGAGCGCTGCCGTGTCCCATGTTAGAGGTAAGCGCTCTGATGGTAAGCTTAGGATAGGTCGAAGCAGTTCGACGGGACTGGTGGACGACATGAAGGGAGATAGAGGCTCCCGAAAACGCGCACTGTCAACGGTCTGGCGTTCATCACGGCGGTCAGGGACAAGCTTCGATGACGACACAGCCACACGTCAAGCACGACGCCCGTCGTCCAGCGTGAACTTTATTCTTGGGTTCCACCTTAAAGCAACCTCTAAGTGCAAGGCATGCAAAACGTTATTGTCAAAATGCTAGGACTGTCTAGCCAACACGTACATGTGTGAGTTTTGGAGGTGAATCCGAGTCGTCGTCGGACCACCAGGACTGGGAAGAATTCAAGCTCCGAAGTAGCGCGGCGTCGGGCCCTTCCAAGTCCATCTGACGACGAACTCTTGGACGAACCCCTCCAACTGTGCAACGCATCCCTAGCAAAGGCTAGTCATCCAGTAAGCTAATCATCCTTCTCAACCACACATATACGGCAACGGTGACCAGCTATTGCGATATCAACTTCTCTAGATTGACAACTATGCACGATTGCTTCCAGATACCAGAGTTGCTTGATAAGATCTGCGGTGAAGCGATGGACTACGATGATCTCCATAGCTCCAGCAAGTCACTCGCTAGATTGGCTCAAACCTGCAAGCTCTTCACAGAGCCGGCGCTGAACGCGATGTACGTCGAAATCCGGGGCGTCGATCGCCTCTTCATGCTCTTTCCTTGTGACACTTGGAGAGTAAACGAGAATGGAATCTTTGTGAGGATGTCTCACCGAATGCTCAGCGACTCGCGCATTAATCACCTTCAAGGGCTTTACCAGGTCGTTGCAGCTTTCGGACTGGAACTTCTTCAATACAAACTCGTCCCGCGTGAAGAGAATATTGCAACCTCAGGATTCTGCAAAAGTGCAGAGTGCCGCGTTCGAAGCTGTCTGCATTACACCGCATCTTCCCCTCCTACCAAACCTTCGGGCCTTTTTTTGGTCAGACCCGAAAGGCTATCTTCCAGGACATTTCATTCGATGCTTATGTGGTCCCAGCGTTTCCATCCTTGGGATGCGCGCCATCCCCTCTAAATTCTTCTCGCTAGTGCCAGCTATCAGTTTAAGCTGTCCTGGATTGAGCAAGCTGTACGTTCGGGTTCAGATCAATGCTGAATCAGACGAGTTTCGGCGCGCACTCAAGGAGTCTTTACCTCAAATGTCGAACTTACAGCTGTTGGATCTCGATGTCACCCCTGATTGCTCCCTTCTCGGAGTGATATCGAAGCTGCCCCTTCTCCAACATCTGACGATCAGACTATTCGAAGCGTCGCATGCGTCAGATCAGTGTCTGAATCGGAACAATCGCTGGCTCAACCTCCGAAGCTTCCGCCTCAATATGTCGTCCTTCTATAATCTACCCACCATACTCGGCCATGTCGGGCATATGCCTGGCGTTTCCGTCGTGAAGTTCTTGAGCGTCAACGGGCCGCATGAACACTTTGAAGCGCTCCTTGAAGCCATAAACCGTTATTTCAATCCATCTATGCTCTCTGTGTTCACCTTACAGACCCAGGAGGACGCCGGCAATCCATTGGTAGATGCGCATATGTCCAGAGCTGCCAAGACCTCCTTGTTTGGTCCTTTGGTTATCATGATGACAAGCTGGGTCAATCTTGAAAAACTAACCATGCGAATGTATAGCCTCCCCGAATTAAGTGACGATGACATCTCGATTTTGGCTTCCTCGTTCCCCAAGCTTCGCATCCTTAAGATTCATCCACTACTGGGAACAGCGGCACAATCCTCCATTTCGCTCAACGGACTCAAGACTCTCTTGGAGAAGTGTCCCGCCCTTGAGGAATTGTATTTGGCCATCAACTCGGACCATTGCAAACCGCCTCAATGCACGCTTTCCAAGAATAATCGCATGACTAGCATCCACCTAGGCAACTCGCGTATAGAGAACTCAGTACACGTCGCTTCGGTTCTCTCCTGTTTACTCCCTCGTCTTCGGCAAGTACACACAGTATGGATGAATATGCTCGGGGATGAGGCTGAGAAGTACAGAGAGCTGTGGAAGCAAGTGAATCTTCTTTTGAGCGGCTTTCGTACACGGGCCGCATATGAGAAGCAATGGTCGGCTGGCGAGGGCAAAGAGTGTTCGGATGTGGCGATTTGGGTTCCTTCCAGAAATTTGGAGCCTTCTTCACCAGCGGTGAACTTTAACGAAGAGTACGTCAATGATGGAATTGCATTCTGGTAGTCAATATAATCAGCGTTTAAGATGATAGATTGAACTATGTTGGATTTCTGTGTTCGTCATAAAACGACCGGACAGTGGCGGCTTTCCGGGCCGGAGCTTCCCGTCGTGCCACGTGGGCGACGAAGTTTCGTCGCCTCCACTCGACGATGCATGCTCGGCTTGACTTAGCCTTACTTGTCTCCTATTTCCTTAATATCTGCAGACCAACTCACCAAAACTATGGCTCAGCGCTCATCCCAGATCTTCCCCAAGTATCAACATGAGTCGACGTCAATGCTGTCAAGAGCGGTAACGAGACGACGCGTGATTTGGATGCTCACCGGCGGCACCGTGCTCTCCTTTGCTAGCGCTCGAGTGGCTTCAGACTTGAACTGTATCCATTTGCTTCCCCCCCTCAAGCTAAGGTCTTCTGCCTCACATGCACAAGTGCCTCCTCGTTTCTGAAATCCTTTCCATCATCTTCGCGTACGTCGACCATGCCACCTCAAACAGACTCGCCCGTACATGTAAAACCTTTCAAGAACCAGCCCTGGATTCCCTCCATGCCGACGTCGGCCGGCTGGCCAACATCTTCATGTGTTAACCGAGGGACCTCTGGGTGGTGAAAGATAGCAAGCTGGTGCGTGCCATGTCTCTCGATTGCTCAGCATCTACTAACCTACCACGTCTTTCAATCCCCAGTCATTTCAGCGGACCCAGCGACTGGCTCGTTCTTAAACGCTACGTCCGGCGCGTTCGCCGGCTCAGACTTTCCGGCTACCCAGTCGTCAACGACATATGCATCCCCGTCGAGGTCTTCCACAGCCTTGCGACCCAATGCGACAAGCCCCTGTTCCCCAACCTACGTTATCTTCGTGTCGGCTACCGCCATGTCCACTCGCTCCTCCACCTGTTCCTCGGCCCTCATTTGCGCACGCTTGAGCTCGCAACGATGTTCCCTGACAAGCAGCACCTCAATGTGACGTCCACCACCCTTGATCGCAGCCCCTATATCACACACTTGTCAGTGTACATGCCCCACCTGCAGATGCCGGAGCTGATGGCGCCACTGTTGTCACGGCTTATCGAGAAACTGTCGAGGCTCGAGTTTTTGAGGCTTGGATTGTCGGTTATCATTGACCTTTTGTCAGTGACGGTTTCTCTGCCCGCGCTCAAGACACTCGAGGTCCACAACCTACGGGAAGGCGAGGTCGTACCGACGATTCGGCAGCCCGTGTTTGTGTTCCCCCAGCTAACGCACCTCATCTTCCGCGAAACGACGCCGGTGATCTGTGCAGAATTCGTACGCCATGCGTGCGATTTTTCCAACGTTTCGGCACTCGAGGCGGAGCTAGAGGAGAACGGCGACTTTGGCGAGCACGACGAGATGCTAGAGTTCACTCGGGCGCTCGCGTCTGCTCTCTGCGAGAAAACAGTGCGGAGTATCCGCGTCCACCAGTCTTTCGGGTTCGCGCTTTCGGATCCCCTGGATGTCGACGCCCTCAGGCCTTTGTACGACTTCAGAAAATTGACCAACCTTTGCCTGGAGCTCGAGCAGCGCCTCCAGCTCACCGACGCCGATCTAGAACAGCTTTCGCTCGCGTTTCCTCGCTTGCAGAGTCTCGCCCTGCGCACACCTCCAACACCGAGCGAGCTCATCGACGTCACCCTCGAAGGCCTCGCTGTGCTCTGCCACAACTGCAGTGATCTAGGCGACCTAGCGATCGCCTTCAACATCGACTGCACCCGCAACACCTGTCGCAGCTCGGTTCCGCCCCGCCGTAGCGCTAACAGGAATATCACGACTCTGCATGTGATCTGCTCACCGGTGTCGGACGTCGACTTTGTCGCTCGTCGGCTGGCGCGGATGTTCCCGTTGCTGACTGAGATCATTACGACGTATGGGATACAGCTCGAAGCAATGGAGCAGCGGTATAGGTGGAGGAGCGTTGAGGATTTGCTGCCCAGGTATCGCTCTGAAATCGTTTGATGCGAATGCCGTGGTAGTCCACCATGCGATCATACTTGAACCGCTGGGTTTACTTAATTTGTGTTTTGATGTGTCGTATCTTAGCTTTCATATAATCCAGTCCATAATCTTTGTTCCAATGTACATTGAAATAGAGTCGAGTTAGTCGTTTAGTTTGCGGCGAGACTTACCGGCACGTACGTAGTGCACTGAAAATGACCGTTTGGTTGCCGGTTCTCCAAAGTTATACTGACATTGTGAGAGAAAGCTCAGCCGCCCGACTCCCATTGGGCGATAACACTGCTCCGTCGTTATTCTCGGACTATGAACTACTTTGTAGAGAGCCACCTCGATGGCCTCCGAAGTGTTCGTACTACCTGTGACCACTAATCATTTGGAATCATCACCCTTGCGTCCGACTGGTGCTGATGGCCGCCCTCGAGCCCGTTATCGTGCCGAGGACAGAGATAACCAGGCGAGTACAGCGAGCGGTGGGGGGATAATAACTCTTAGCTCTTCCATCTACACTTTCTCCTCCCTGCTAAACCGAACACCTTTTGCAAGAACAATGGCCAACTTGAAAATCAACGCTAAACCCAACAAAGAACGAGACACAATCCTCCCGCCAACCCCGCCACCCACCGACGCCTCGTCCACCTTCGACTCATCCTCCTCTGAGCACGACGACGCTTTCCCCCTCCCCCCGCCCTCCTCGCTCCCCACCCAGGTCTTGGACATCGACAAGGCCACGCCGGACGCACATGTGCCACGCGACCCGCGCATGGTCCGGCTCACAGGCGTACACCCGTTCAACGCCGAAGCGCCCCTCGACCTGCTCTTCCGCGGCGGCGAGGGATTTCTTACCCCGCCGGAGCTGTTCTTTGTCAGGAGCCACGGGGCTGTGCCGGTCATAAGCAATGACGAGGCGAGAAGGTGGACGTTCAGCGTCGAAGGGTACGTCTCCGTGAGGTGTTCTTGTCGGAGATGAGCGAGATGACGGATGCAATACTGTTCGTAGGCTCGTGAAGAACCCGCTTACCATCTCGCTCTCTGAGCTCTTGGAGCAGTATGAGCAGGTGACGATCCCTGCGACGCTCGTGTGCGCTGGCAACAGGCGCAAAGAGCAGAACATGGTCCGAAAATCGAACGGGTTCTCCTGGGGCCCAGGCGGGCTCTCGACCGCGCTGTTCACAGGCGTCCTCGTCGCCTCAGTCCTCGCCAAGGCGGGAATAAAGAAACGCGCGCGGTATCTGTGCATGGAGGGCGGCGACGTCCTGGTGAGCATCCTCTCCCTCATAAAAAAGCGAAAACCCAAATAATGTGCGCTAACTTACCACCGCCGTCACCACCGCAAAGCCAAACGGAAACCCCGGCTACGGCACATGCATCCCGCTCGCGCTCGCGCTCTCCCCCTCCTCCGGCGTACTGCTCTCCTACGCGATGAACGGCGCCCCGCTCACGCCCGACCACGGCCGCCCGCTGCGCGTCGTCGTGCCGGGCGTCATCGGCGGGCGCTCCGTCAAGTGGCTGACGCGGCTGATCGTCACCGCGCGCCCGAGCGAGAACTGGTATCATCTGCACGACAACAAGGTGTTGCCTGCGCACCTCGGTCCGGCGGACGTGGGCCCCGAGAAGGGCGAGGAGGGCGAGAGGTGGTGGAGGGACGAGTGGTATGCGATTGGGGAGCTGAGTGTGAATTCGGCGGTGGCGTGTCCGGGGCATGGGGAGCGTGTTTCGCTTGGAGGGGGTGGGGACGGGAGCGGGGAGAGGGGGTATGTGCTCAGGGGGTATGCGTACGCTGGCGGCGGGAGACGCGTCACGCGCGTGGAGGTGTCGCTTGACCGGGGGAGGAGCTGGGTGCTCGCGGAGGTGGAGTACCCCGAGGACGCGTATCGCCCGTCGTCTGCTTCTCCGGTGCCATCGTCCCCTGCTTCGCCATCGGCGTCGCCCCCCGAGCTGAGCGACGACTCGGACTCTGACTCGGACGACGCAGAAGACCTCCCACACACTTACAACAACACCCCCATCCTCGTACCCGCCTCCTACTGCTGGGCATTCTGGCACCTCCCCGTCCCTCTCGCGCGCCTGGCCTCCGCAAAAGACATTGTCGTGCGCGCGGGCGACGAGAGCCTCGCGCTGCAGCCGCGGGAGATGTACTGGAGCGTGCTGGGGATGATGAACAACCCGTGGTTCCGCGTCGTTGTCCACCACGCGCCCGGGAAAGACGGAGGGCCCGGGGAGCTGTGGTTCGAGCACCCGACGCAGCCGGGTATGATACCCGGCGGATGGATGGAGCGCGTTAAGAGGGCCGGTGGCGATCTTACGGACGCGAGCTGGGGTGAGAGCGGTGATGGGTCGACGCGTGGTCAGTCCGATGAGAAGGAACCTGCGGTGCTCGGTGCCGGAGTTCAGAAGGGGGAAGAAATTGGACTGACGAACGCCTCGGTAAACCGAGCTATCACTCTCGCCGAGGTACGCGAACACAGCACCCAGGCAAGTGGGGATGCGTGGTTCGTCATCGACGGGGAGGTGTACGATCCGGCAGGGTACCTTGACGAGCACCCTGGCGGGGCCGCGAGTGTGCGTGCGGTGAAGGGGACGGATACAACGGAGGAGTTCCTCGCTATACGTGCGTCAGACCGTTTTCTAAACCCAACGGGCTCGGTGAAGCTCACGAAGAATGTAACGCAGATTCGGAGGGAGCCAGGGGGATGATGAAGACGTACCACATCGGAGCCCTCGACGCCGCAGGCAGAGCCGCCCTTGCCATCAACGCGACTCACGATGCACACTCCGAGCCCGAACCAACGATAAAAACCAACGCGCCCTTCCTCAGCCCAAGCACCTGGCGCCTCCTCACACTCACATCCAAATCACCTTTATCGCACGACACCCACCTGCTCACATTCTCTCTCCCCTCCGCCATGCAGCCGCTCGGCCTTCCAGTAGGGCAGCACGTACTCCTCCGCCTGCGCTTGCCGAGCGGAAAGACGCTCATAAAGGAATATACCCCCATCTCGACGCCCTCACTTACAGGCTCCCTCGAGATGCTCGTCAAAGTCTACCCCGCGCACCCCGAGGACGGATACACCGGCGGCCCGATGTCGACCGCGCTCGACGCGCTCCCGCTCGGCGCGCACGTGCAGGTCAAGGGCCCTTTTGGGCGGTTCGAGTACCGCGGCCGGGGGCGGGTGTCGATTGACCACAGGGTGGAGAGGGAGGTAAGGACGATGGTGATGCTCGGTGCTGGGAGCGGGGTCGCGCCGATTGTGCAGGTGCTCAGGGCGGTGATGGAGGATGAGGAGGACGAGACGCGGTGTGTGGTGTTTTGTGCGAATAGGGGGCAGCGGGATGTGCTGTTGAAGGATGAGCTGGCGTTATTTGCGGAGGATGGGAGGGGGCGATGTAGCGTGCAGCACATCCTGAGCCGTGAGGATGGGCGAAGCGGATGGGCTGGATTGAGGGGGAGAATGGGGAGGGAATTTGTGAGCGAGCATCTGGGGAGATGGAAAGGCAAGGATGCGATTGTGCTTGTGTGCGGACCAGAGGAGATGGAGAACGCGCTCGGGAGGGTGCTTAGAGAGGAAGGGTGGGGCGAAGAGCAGGTCGTATTTTTCTAAAAAGAACTCGGTGAGGTTGCCTGTAATATCACGCGCTGTTGGGCAGCCATATAAATCAGGAGCATTGTCATTGCAATGGTGGTACAGTGCTGGATGAGATACACGATGTGGTATGCGCTTAGATGCGGCGGATGTGATTCTGCGCTATGCTGGTGCTTCTCCCTGCTGCGATTGCTGAATCACTGTCTGGAGCTCGACAATCTAGGTGTCGAGGCGGTTAGAAATTAATAAAGGGGGGCAATGCGGGACATGCACCTCGTTTTTCTTCTGTTCTGACTTGGCCTCAAACTCCTTCAGCTGCCCCTCTACCCGTTTTCTGTAGTATGCGGGTGAATGGTCGTCATTCTAAGGGAAGAGAGGGTCGTACATCTCGCTTTGTATGAACTCTATGCGGGTGTTGACATTGCCTTTGGCCTCCGTTTGGTCCTGTGGCATAAGCGTCGGCCCGATGAGCTTGTACACGGTGTTGCTCGGTGTGAGCTTTGCGAATTCCTGGAGAGGTAATCGTTGGGCAAGAGAACGAGGATAAAAGGGAAAAACGCACGGCTTTGACTTGCTCGTTCTCGGACAGCTGGGCGTCGAGGCGTGTGCGGGCGTCGACGGCGTTGCCTAGGTCCGTTTGGAGTTTTTGGTACTCTGTTGAGGCAGCCTGGAGTTTGGCGACGAGTGCTTGGGACATTGTCGTAGGAGGTGGAAAGCAGAAATCAGACGCGTCTTTCCTTCCACGTTCACTTGCTATGTTGACCACAAATGTGCAGCATCCAACTCATATGTCAGATTATCAGCCATGTGGATGACACAAGTCTTGCCCACGCTCCTGAACCAAACCGGCGCTTCTCAGCTTGTCGCCGTCATCGACGATGGCAGCGAGTTCAAACAACCCCAAGTTGTCGCTCTCGTGGCGTACTCGGCGTCTAGCTTCCCTCTTCATTGTTTCTCTCGTCTTGCTGACGCTTTCTTCTCTCGTTCCATCCTTATCACCCTTCACTTTCGCGTCCTTCAGTCCTACACCCTCGCCCCAACAGCTTGCACAGCGCGCCCGGATACTCTCCCGCTGCGAGTACCTCTCCACTCCCGCTGGCCCACCTTCCGATTTCGCACAGCGTACACGCTCGGATCGCTTCGTACCCGGTACACGCCCTGTACTTCTCCGCAACGCGCGCATCTGGACCGGCGGGAATGACGGGACAGAGGTTCTCGAAGGAGACGTATATCTCGAGGACGGGATCGTCAAAGCCGTCGGAAGTGTATCCCATGAACTTCTGGATGGTAACCTGAACGTGCAAGTGCTCGACGTGAACGGATCGTGGGTCACACCAGGGATCGTAGACCTGCATTCGCACATTGGAGTCAACAGTGCGCCCGATCTCAACGGTACGTTTTTCCCCCCTTCCTTCCCCGCAAAGCTCTTTGATCAGCCCCCTCATCCACCATCACGCAGGTGCAGACGATACAAACTCCTTCACAGCGCCCATTCTCCCGTGGCTGCGCGCCTCGGACGGTCTCAACACACACGACGCGTCCTATGCCCTCGTGCGCTCCGGCGGCGTCACGACTGCGCAAGTTTTACCAGGTAGTGCGGACAACATCGGCGGACAGGCGATCGTGGTGAAGCTGCGCGATACGTTGGAAAGGACTCCGACGAGTATGATGGTCGAGCCGCCGTGGGAGCTGGGTAATGGGACGAAGGTCGGGTATGATTCGAGTAAGGGAGGGGTGAGGCCGAGGTGGAGGCATATGAAGTGCGTGATATCTCTTTGCCCCCTGCGTTGTGCGCTCACATGGGCTGGTTTGCTGCAGACACGCGTGCGGTACGCCGTGTTTTTCCTCCCAGTATGCTCCCAGACTGACTGCTTGCGATCCTCACTCGTCCCTTTCTGTACAGGTGAAAACCCATCAAACACCTACGGCCAAACTCGCATGGACTCTGCCTGGCTCTTCCGCCAAGCATACGACACCGCGCGCAAGCTCAGAGACTCGCAGGATGCGTTCTGCACGAAGGCACGGGCCGGGAGATGGGATGAGCTCGATCAGGAGGCAGGTGTGCCGGAGGATCTTCAGTGGGAGGCGCTAGCGGATGTACTGAGAGGAAAGGTCAAGGTACGCCGGTCATCTCATGGTCGAGCTGCATTAGTTATGAAGGTCGATTGTGGTGTACAGCTCTCTGTGCACTGCTACGAGGCCGTTGACTTGGATATGATCGTTCGGGTGCGTCATTTCCCTTTTCTCTGACATACGCATTTAACCATCTCCGATGTATATGCGCGCAGCTCTCGCACGAATTTCAATTTCCCGTCGCATCCTTCCACCACGCCGGCGAAACTTATCTTGTCCCCGACCTCCTCAAAAAAACATTCGTACGCCCCCTCCCTCCTCCTCTCCTCATCCACTAGTCTGAACTTCCTCGTTTTCGATATCAGGGCGGCCCACCCACAATAGCCCTCTTCGCCTCCAACGCCCGCAAAAAGCGCGAAGCCTACCGCGCCTCCCCCTTCGCCCCCGCCCTCCTCTCCTCGCCCCCACATAGCATCCCCGTCGCGATGAAATCCGACCACCCCGTCACCAACGCGCGCTACCTCCCCGCCGAGGCCGCATACGCGCACTTCTGGGGCCTCGGCGCCGCGCGTGCGCTCAGCGCGCTGACGACCGTTCCGGCGGACGCGCTGGGGATGGGACATAGGCTGGGAAGGGTCAGGGTGGGGTGGGATGCGGATGTGGTGGTGTGGGATCGGCATCCGCTCGAGCTGGGGGCGGTGCCGAGGCAGGTGTTTGTGGATGGGGTTGCGCAGCTTGCTTCGACTGGGGCGAATGGGGCGGGGGGAGCAAGCAAGAGCGGGGACGAGGTGGGCTTGGTTGTTCCGCTGAAGAGTGCGGAGTTCCAGGATGCGCCGCGGGCGCCTGATTTCGGTGTTGAGATGGCGAGGACGATCGAGTTTGAGGGGTTGCCGCCGCTGGAGCCGAGGCGTGTGGAAGGGAGGGTGGTGTTCGCGAACGTGTCTGAGGTGTGGGTACGGGATCGGCGCCAGACTCCTGGAGGAGTCACGCGTGTCGGTACTGGCATGCAGGAGCTCGCTGGAGGCGAAGAAACAGACGGGCCGTTTAGCGTTGAAGTCTACGACGGACAGATCGCCCGAATCCACCTCTCATCTACCGGTCACTCTCAACCCATAGCGTCAGACGAAGTCGTCGATCTCCAGGGTGGCGTCCTTGTCCCCGGCCTCACGACGTTCGGCACCCGCCTCGGGCTCTCCGAAATCAAGCTGGAGCCGAGCACGAACGACGGGTCCGTGTTCAACCCCCTCGACGGCGATATACCAGCCATCGTTGGCAAGGAGCCAGCGAGAGCGGTCGATGGGCTGATGTTCGGCGGACGCAACATGCTGTACGTCCCCTTTCCTTCGTCTCCCTTACTACGGGCGAGTGCTGCGATGGAGACTGACGGGACGGTGCAGGCTCGCATACCGCAACGGCGTGACATCTGGCGTCGCCGCCCCCGGTGGATCTTTCGTCCAGGGTACACCAGCGACGTTCCTCCTCGGCGCACCGCATGCGCTCGCGGGCGCTGTCATTGAAGCGGACAGCGCGTTGCATGTGACGCTGGGCATGGGTGCCAAGGCGAGCGTGAGCACGCAGATCGCTGCGTTGCGCGCGATGCTGTTTGATGAGCGCGCGGCTGAGGGCGGGGTTGTGCGGCGGGTCCGGAAGGTACGCATCCCGTCTACCTGGTTTCCGTTTACCTTGATGGGCGATATGCTTTCAGGGAGACGCGACGCTCGTGATAACAGTTGACACGGCCGACATCATGGCTACGCTCATCCAGCTCAAGTCGTCCCTCGAAGAGCGCCTCGACAGCAAAGTGAAGATGACGTTCGCAGGCGCGCTTGAGGCGCACCTCCTCGCCGCCGAGATCGCGCACGCGGGTATAGGCGTTGTGCTGACGAGGGCGAAGCCATTCCCGGGCGTATGGGGCCAGCGCAGGATGTATGTACCTTCCTTGTGACGACAGGGTCAAGCTTTTGATGCATTTACCAGCCTCGAGGGTCCGCCTGTCACGCCAAAGTCCGCGCTGGAGGTGCTCCTTGGAGCGGGCGTAGATGTCGCGCTCGGTGTGGTGGACGAGTTTAACGCGCAGAACACGCGGTTCGAGATCGGATGGGTGCGTGGTTTCTCACTCTGCGCTGTCTGAGTTTTAGTCACCCTCGTGTAACTCACTGTGGGCGGTGCTTACAGGAACTAAATCAGCCCGACTCGACGCTCACATCCTCCCTCGCGCTCGAGCTGGGCACGACGCGTCTTGAGCGCGTGCTCGGTGTGAAGGCGGCTATGCCGCAGGAGCTGGTGGCGTACAAGGGCGGGACGCCGTGGGGATTCGAGAGTAAGGTCGTGGGGGTGGTGAGTCAGAGGATGGGAAGGGTTGATTTGTTTGAGTAGGCGGGTGGCTACGATGCTGTGTCATGTCTATGCGCGTTTTCCGCTACCTCGAACTCAGAAACTGGCTCAATGGATGCGATGCGAGCCAAAGAATGCGTTCACGGTCAGCGTGGACAATGGTATAGGGTACGATATTTCTATGGCACCAACATCAGCCATTCATTTTCCGGTCGAGAATTACCAGCTTGGCCGGTGCTGGTAACAGATTAACTCATCAGTTATGGTGTTTCGAACGGCGATTGAGATGTTGCGGAACAGAATGCTGTGGCGTACATCTGTCGGAAGCTGGAATTAGATGAGCTCCGCTGTTTCTCCGCACCGATTCTCTGCGATGACGCGTCCTGCCACACTGCAGACAAACTGTGATTTTTCTGTTACGAAAAGTGATTGAAGAACGCGGACAGATGAAAGCCTTTTTCGCCCATCTTTTGCTGCGCGAAAAGTTATTGAAAAGTTAAACTTTTGCCTCGGAGCTTGCATTTCTGTGCGGAGATTAGATAGAAACACGTCCAAATCAGGAAGGTGGTGTCCAATTTGGTAACCCGCCAAATTTACCAGCGCAAAATTGACGCAAATGTCGGCTAAAAGAGTATCTTTTCCTGTGCAAAAGGGGGTTCCAAAACTTGGAGGAAAAGGCTTTCATCTCGCCGCCTCTTTCTCTCGGTTTCATCCGGGGTAAAATCGCCGTTTGTCTGCAGTGCCAGTCCCTTACACTGCAGACAAGCTGTGATTTTTCTATTATGATAAGTGATTGAAGAAGGTGGACAGATGAAAGCCTTTTTCACCCATCTTTTGCTGTGTGAAAGGTTACTCGAAAGTCAAACTTTTGCCTCGGAGTTTGCATCTCTGCGAGGAGAGATTAGATAGAAACACGTCCAAATCAGGGAGGTAGAGTCCAAATCCGGTAACCCGCCCAATTTACCAGCGCAAAATTGAAGCAAATGTCGGCTAAAAGAATACCTTTTCTTGTGCAAAAGGGGGTTCCAAAACTCGGAGGAAAAGGCTTTCATCTCTCCGCCTCTTTTTCTCGATTTCATCCCGGGTAAAATCGCCGTTTGTCTGCAGTGTGTGTTGTTGTATCCAGTAAGTAAAGTTTAATCTCCGCCACAAGCTGATTCCACGATCGAGCGTATCACGGCTGGTCATTAACCCATTCGAAGACCAAGAACACGTCCTCGGCGTCAACAAGTCCTACAGCGCTTTCGGAACAAGTTCAGGAGAACAACAAGGATATGGCTACCGCACCGACGCCGGACTCGGAGGAGACGCATAGTCGGTTCTTGCCAGCGGAAATCGTCGAGAACATCTGCGATGAGTTGATCACACATTGCAAAACAGATGACACATTGCAGGCTCTTGCTAGGCTGGCGCAAACCTGCAAGGCGTTTGAAGAGCCCGCTCTGAGCGCGCTTTACTTTGAGATTGCCGGGATAGATACGTTGTTCAAGATCTTTCCTCAAGATACATGGCAAATCCAAAATGGTGTCTTCGTATGTGGTCAATTCTTTTTGAATATCATAAATAGGTGTGACTGGACTTGCTCCGTAGACTTTTACACGATCTCTCAGACTGACAGATTGGGCCATATTTCGCAAGAACAGTCATAGGATAAAGAGGCTATACCAATCTGATCGCCTGCTCTTATCAGAGTCGATGTTCCACCACGTATCGTTTTGCCCCGGCTTTCCTTTACTCCCCAACTTGCAATATTTCCTCTGGGCTTATACAAGATGCTTCCCCGGAGACTTTTTTCGCATCCTCTGCGGCCCCAATACCAAGGGTCTGGGGTTCAATGCGATACCTGAAAACTTCTTCCCTTTCGTCTCGATGATCGCCGTTACCTGCCAAGGCTTGGAGAAGCTTTACGTCCGTCAAGAGCGCCCACAAGATATGGAGCAGTTCCATGTTATGCTCCAGGAGGCCCTGCCTAACATGCGGTCTCTGAAGCATATGGTTATCGATGCGTCTACCAGCTTGTCGTTGCTTCGCGCCATAGCGAAGTTACCCTCACTTCAGGCACTAACCGTTCAGGCGCTCAAAGGCTCTGAGTCGTCATCGCCATCGTCATCGCCACACGACTTTATATCCCCGCTATCCCAGCTCCGTAGCTTGAACTTCCACCGTTCATCACTTGAAGACATTTTAAAGACTCTTGATCGTCTGGCAGGTCTGTCTCACGTAGAAACCTTCAGGACCTTATCGTCTGCCCACCCCACTCGAGATATAGAGAAGACACTCCAGGCATTGCCGACACACTTCAAATTCTCGCATCTGAAAGTCGTTTCGCTCATGGAGCAACCTGACCTCCGTCCTATTTACACATCAGAGCCTCCCCTGGATATTCGATCCCTCAGGCCGCTGACTGACTATGCTCATCTGGAAAAGTTACTTATCTGGACGAGTATTCCATTTGCACTAGGCGACGCAGATATTTTGGACCTTTCGCAGTCCTTTCCACGACTTCGTATTCTCAACCTCGCAGGACGTGATGCCTGGCACGAACACAGGAAACCGTCGCTTCTTGGTCTTGCCACGCTGCTTACGAATTGTCCCAAGCTAACCGAGCTTCACCTCGTTGTGGATGCGACCGTCTATCATGACCTCCAATCCTGTGCTTCGCCACGTAACCACACAATCACAGAGCTTTTCTTAGCGCACTCCTCCATCGAAGACTCGTCATACGTCGCTTCGTACCTCAGCTTGTTGCTACCCCGGCTTTACCGGGTGAACGCGTGGGATGTTGACAGATCTAAACTTAACAGCCAGGGAGCGACTTCGAAAGAGCGATGGATGATGGTCAATCATCTCATTGCTGGGTTCCATGTGAGGGCGCAGTATGGTCGACAGTGGTCGGAAGGTTCACAATTGTACGGGCGAATCCATACGACTGAATTTGAGGCAAGCTGGAATCCGGAGGATGAGGTTGCAGAGAGTATTCCTACGCGGTACTAAAATGTTTTCCGCTTCGCCTTCGATTATTGCACCAGCACTTATTTACGTATATGTGTTGCAAAAATCAAGGTCATTCTAGCCGTGGATTTCTGACTTTAGAAGAAGTTGGGTCGAGCGGATATCTCTACTTATTCTTTCTTCAACCTGCCTTTCAGGCTGGCATTTGTTGATCAATCATCAAAACCGCTGGTCTCAGCCACATTCGGATAACGGATGGCGGACTTTCAAATTTCCGACCACTGCGTCACCGCCAGCGCCTTTTCTTTGTTGAGTGCAACCAACACCCTTATCTTGTTATTACCGTAGCGCGCCCAGGTGAGCACGGTAGAAAATATCCAGAATCTTACCGGGGAACTACTACGTTCACAGCAGACTTGTAGTTGCCAAGATGACAAGAGAAGTTCACGCTTGTCTTCTGATTCCAGAGATTCTTCAGCAAATTTGCGGCGAAATGATGCACTATATCCAGCTTGAAGACTCTCACAGGACACTGTCTGCGCTGGCTAGAACATGCAAAACCTTTCAAGAGCCTGCATTGGATGCATTGTACCTGGAAATTGTAGGACTTGAAAGGCTCTTCTCGGTGCTTCCTTGCGACGCATGGTCCATGCAAAATGGTCAATTTGTAAGCTACATATTGGCTACATCTCAATCATTCCTAGCTCAAAATTTGCGATGGAATTGATTAGGCACTCACTCGCGCGCTTCGTTTTAGCGACTGGGAGGTCTTGCATCGAAATTTTCATCGCGTTCGACGGTTCTGTCAGCCCGAAATAATGTCCATATCCGAGGCAGTGTTTCAAACTATCATTTTCTGTCCTTATTTCCCCCTCATGCCCAACCTACAGCAGCTGCGCTGGGACAATATTACCACCTTCCCAGCTAATGTTCTACGTTTCCTCTGTGGACCAGAAATCAAGGAAGTAGGATTCAACGTCATCCCTGCTTCTTTCTTCCCTTTCATCACCATGATCAGTATCGCATGCCCTGAACTGCGCAAGCTCCAGGTTCGCCAGGTTTGCGGAGAAGACGTAGAGCATACCCATAGGACGTTGACGGACGCCCTGTCCAACATGCGCAATTTACAGCACTTGAATATCGACACTCCGATGAGCCATTCTCTCCTACAGTCGGTAAAGGGCATTCCTTCTATCCGTTCGCTCATCATTCAACCACTTCGGGGCACGAGTACGTCCGACATCGGTCACGCTCAAGCTCGTTGGTCGGCATTTTGCAATCTAAGTTCGTTGTGTATACATCATGTGCACCTTGTAAATGCGGCAGGGACTCTCGACGCAATGGGCCGTCTGCCAGTGTTACAATTAAAGGAGTTCACGTGTATATCAAGCGGCCATCCGACACCCGATATCAGCAACTTTCTTCGTACTGTGATGTCTCACTTTGATCGCACTCGCCTTTCTGCGTTATCCATACTTGAGGACCCTGATACTTCTCTTAGTGCTGCTTCGCTGGCTCCGCTGAACTTTGAAGTGCTGAAACCACTTATGTCCTGTGAAAACTTGGAGAAGCTCGCCATATGGACATGCATTCCATTCTCCCTTGACGATAACGAGATTTCGATCCTCTCATCATCTTGGCCAAAACTTCGCTCCCTCAACTTTGGAACACGCGATGGATGGGGCACGGAGAAGGAGCCATCTCTCAAAGGGTTGACGGTTTTGCTTGACAGCTGTCCTGATCTTGAAGAGCTTCACATTGTTATCGACGCTTCCCTATATCATGACTTGCCGCCTTCCGCAGTAGGCCGCAATCGAAACACAATCACGCTTTTCTTGGATAATTCTCCACTCGAGGATCCCCTTTATGTTTCTTCGTTTCTTCACCTTCTATTACCGAACCTCTATAGCGTCAATACCTGGGAACAAAACATCTCACCTGACTTCAAACAACGATGGGCGGCAGTGAACAACCTTATTTCCGGTTTCCACACCATGTCTCAATACAGGAGTCAGTGGTCTGCCGAAGCTTCACGCCCCTATGGACAAATCAAAACCCCAGAGCCCGTCGCCAAGTGGAACATCATAGAGGAGGTTGCGAGGAGTACTTCTTCGTTCTCCTAAACCCCACAGTAGTTTGCCAGAAGTTGTCATTCTTACGACGTGTACAATTAATCTACAAGCTTTCATATACAGGTGTGCATTACGTATGATTGAACATGTCCTGACGTCGGCCAATTTGCAGCCAAGCCACCAGTATGATATCGACGTAGTGTAATTTTAGTCACGCAAAATAATCTCCAGGTCGGTAATTAATTCCCTACTCTCATTTGTCCACGCAACACCTCTCGCGATGCGTGAGAAGACAAGCAGAGGGGCTATAATCTTGAATATCTAATGGATTAGACAATGCTCCTCTCATGAGGGCGTGATGAAACGTACCTGAACTTCGTCGATAATTCGCCATCACAACGACACGGAAACGGGAGTTACTATGAAAGAGACTATCAAGTGGGATACTGAGCAAATTGTTATTAGCGTGCACGATGATGATTGCATGTTATGTATGAGACCTGTCCAGCCGTGTCCTGCATCGTGCTCACATGTTGGCCTACGCGATTGCTGTGAGAAATTGAAGGATAAATGGTTGGTTCTACACACGCTTTCCGTGAAGCATTGACCAATATGCAATCTAAGGACAGGCGAAAGCAGAGACGAGAACGTGAGGCTGAACGTTGAGGTATATTGAGGTATGACGAGGAAATCAAATTTATATCCCGCTCGAAGCACTGAGTGTTGGAATTCGAGAAGTCACGCGGCGTGAGTGAGAAAACTCCGTTGCAACCTCGTAATGAGGTAATCTACGATACAGTGTGTCTATATACGTCGTAAGAACAAAGCAACAAGTAATCTACTGCGGAGCATTTTCGTAAACAAAGCAGAATATCGAACAGAGCGCGCCATATGGGCTGCAGCTCGTCATGTGCGCTACTAATACATCTTAGAAACAAAGGAGAACAAATATAAGACCGAAATATTTCCATTACTGAGTACTTGCGCTAAGTAGCAGCTCGGTAGTAGCTGTAGGTAAACAATAAATACGTCTAATTAGGGGGACGAAAGAGGTTGAGGCATGACCTTCTGTATTGTATACCGCTGATTATGTGTACCGTGATGCGCCAATTAGAAACCCAGCTTATACATGCGCTAATAGTACTGATCGTTGGGCTCAATCTTTAATGAGCGAACCAGCGTTGTCTGTACTGCTCCTTGGCAAAGATTCCAGAAACAAGATGTTTTACCTCTGCCCACATCTTGCCTTGAATGCCCGGTGCCTGTACGCCTTTGTCGTCATCCCAAGCCCAGATTTTGCTAAGAGTGGGCACTAAAAGGGTAAGGAACGACGCGACATAAGCCGGGTTGTCAATAGGAGAGTAACATAGGTCTAATCCCACGACGCGTTCGCCACAGCCGGTAGATTCGGCTGGTAGTTTGTGATATGCGATGGCGTCGACAACGAGATGAACACTCTCTAGAAAAGGACAGTTGTTGAGGAGTGTTGCGAGCCCCTTAAGAGACGGCTTTTTGTACTCGTGGAGAACCTCGCAGCCAGGGAAGTCTATAACACGAAGGCTGGGCCATGAGGCAGAAAGCACTTCCATGTTATCATCATCAAGAGAAAATGGTATGCGGGTGCGAATAGACAGCTTTTCCATGCGCTGGTAAGACAGGAGCGGCTGGAGTGATTGTACTGTTAACGGAGGTGCTTTTGCGTCCTCCCGATTTGAACGACGTTTACATTGGTCTACTAGCGATAGCGACGTGAATTGTTTGGGGGATACGCTAGGCCCAATAGCTTCAAGTAATCCGCAGATATCGAGAGCGCTTACAGAGGCCTTCGAATGCGCACAGAAGCTTTTCAGCCATGACAGTTGTCCGAGGTGAGGAAGAGTCGTTGCTACCTCGCTAAAGGTTGAACGTTGGAAATGTAACTTTTGGAGGCTGGGGAAGGATTCGCTTTCCTCCTTCAAGGGAAAGTGGAACGTGTCAGGGCCTCCTAGAGACCGAATAGTCAAGGTTCGAAGAGATTTGATCATCTTTGCGGCTCGGATCAATGAAGGTGAGATACGCGCATCCATCCAAACAGATTCGAGCGTTGGGACATGCACCATAACGTCCTCTAGAGCCCCAAGGAACGGATCCGTCTCCACATCATTCTTCGGGCTAATGCATAGCTCCCTCAAGGCAGGGCAACTGATAGCAACCGTAGAGACGAGAGGCAATCAGCTTCCCGGTACCTCTAGACGGTTAAGCTTAGTGAGCTTCGGTCCAAGTAGAAGACGGAGGAGATTTCCGGGGAATTTGGCAGTACCTTGCCAAGAGAGATGTCGAAGATTTGGGAGTATTGGGAGGTACGGGCAAAGGCAGAAGAAACCAAATGCCACCTCGGCAATCTGAGGGGTCTCTGAAGGTTCACAGAGAATACGTATGCGGCTGGAGTTCTGATGAAATACGTCCCAATCGTCTAACCGAAGCGCGCGAGTGAAAGTCTTGCGACCGGCATGAGCATTCATCAACATGCAAATCGTTTACTGGGGGAATACGTACGAAAATACCGCGTTCGGTGGACCAGGTATCTCGTGGAAGCACCTTGAAGAGCCTATCGAAACCCTTGATCTCGTAGTAAAGGGCATTCAATGCGGGTTCCCGGAACGTTTTGCACGCTCGGGCGAGCCTGACAAGGTCCCGGCTTGCGTCGTCTGCATGGGTTACGTCCATCAGCTCTAGGCATATCTTATCGAGAAGCTCTCGGCACAGAAGTTGGGCGTTCATCTCAGCCCAGAAATAGATATGCAGGGGTTTCCTAGCGTTATGAAGCACTATTCAGTGAACTTAGCTCTTGCAAACAACGGACTAAATTGACGTTACCTTTTGTGTTCTCCACCGGTGCCTTCAAAGGTTACGGCCAAGCTATGAACACGAACAGCTCCGTAGCTGACGAGGATTCAGGGATCACACGCGTGTGCGTTGAGTTGGGACACAAGGTAGGACAAAGCCGCACGCGACGCGTCGCGAGCAACAGAAGAGATATCAATTTAAGCTCCGACGGAAAATTCCGAATGACTTCCCTGCTCAGGTCGCCGTTCTTGCATTTCACCTGTGAAACCCATACTGACAACTGATTGGCACACAATAGTGATGCGAACTTGACATCCTGATCACTGGTATAATGTGGTCCCTCCAACCTCAAAGGGAAACACCGCTCCTCGACTGCATCATTAAGTTGTTAAGTTACGCATTAGAAACTACCCAAACAATGGCCAACGACTACGGAGAATGATAGAACTATTAAAGTGGCAAGAGAACCGTGATTATGATAGGAGAGTAGTGTATAAGATCAGTCACGCAAAGCAATCTCCAGGTCAGGGAGTGAGTCCCTACTCTCATTTGTCCACGCAACACCTCTCGCAATGCGCAAGATGACGAGTAGAGGGGCTATAATCTTGACCGGATGGATGGATTAGATAGCATGTCTCGCATGAGAGCACGATATAACGTACCTGAACCTCGTCGACCATCGCTATCACAACAGTGCGGAAAGGTGAGTCGATGAAAGGGAGTATCAAGTATGATATTGAGCAAATCGTTATTAGCGTGCACGACTCAATCATCATGGCGCTGATGCCTGTATAGTTCAAGCGTGCATCAACATTGAACGTGGATCCTTAAGGCCAGTATTAATTCTGAGTTCCGCTACACGCAGGCTCTGGAAAGGCTTACCCATCATTGTACTTATGGAGGTGCGTTCTGAGCGCAGGCGAATCACAATGAGGCTGGTGGCAGCAAGGTTTAGGATGGTTGCCATGAAGAAGTACCATCGAGATACAGCTGCCAGCCATGGGGCTGTAGTGAGGACTGTGTAGTTATTGGGCAGAGAATACGCTATCATGCATAGGAACCCGGACGCTGTCGTCCCATAAATAAGCACGACATTCGCGGGGGTTTACGCGAGTACGCACCGGTGGTTATCAAGAATAGCGAGCCTAAACCCGACTTAATGCATTTGAAGCTTGCATGACATTGATGCAGCACACAGCACCGCCATACCTGATTGCTAATCGTAAGCACCTGCATGTTTAAACGGAGAAACGGCGCACCATGAGTGCGTCGGCCATACTCGTAGCGATCCAGTTGGACACATTTATGAGAATTGCACTGGCTGAATGAGGGTAAGCGGACTCGAGGGCCCATGGCTGGGCACCATTAGCCAATCCGGCGAGATAGAGCTGAGGCGGAATGGCATAGCAGATGACGCAGAGCGTCCCGAGACAGAGCATGACCGCGACGTACGCGACGTAGAACCACAACCATCTGCGGTTCTTCGTATCCTGCGCCCCGCGCGCCCGCCTGACTAGCAGCGGGATGCACTCGAAGGCGAGCGAAGCGGCGATCCCCCAGCATATTCCGCATGCGAGCGGTGTCCACACCAACATCAAAGCGGTTTCCAGCGTCTCCAAGTCTCTCGAGCGTGTAGGAAGTTGATCATGGGCATGGCTGTAGTGGTACTCGAGGTACATATCAGGGGTGAGAGGGGTGACGGGGCATACCTAGGACGGCGCGACGGGAAGAAGGGGTGTGGTGAGGACGGTCGCCCGGGTGGGTGGCTCTGCAAAAAACATGTCCGTGCGCTTGTAAAACTATGTCCATCTATAGAATGTCATGACGTGCGCTATGAACCTGCCAAAGGAAATTAATTGCGCTTGTAGCGCGGCAACACATTCCATTTTCGGAACCGAATTGTCCAGAACTCACCCCTATCCTTCCCTATCCTCTCGTTCAAATTGTTGGTGAGGACGGGGTAATGTCCGTGATAGTGCGGGCAGGAAGTGTTGGTACGCCGTCCATCAATATATCTTCGGGCTTAAATGAAATTCGGGTCCACTGCGAAAGATAATCATATGGAGGTCAGTGTTCGTATAGACGATTACATCGGGGAAGACGTCAATGGTCGCCTTGGTGTGGAGCTTCGTCTACCAGAACGCGGAGAGTATTTCGACTTCTTCTCTAGATCTAGAGGTTCGGGATGGTGGCCGTTAAGACCAGTTCTTCATGCTCATTAGATCACCGCCTTCGCGTTGAACGGCAGCGCCTTGGGCCTTGAGGGTACGGGTTGCTTCAGGCGCTGCTACGTACGTCTGCGCACAGAGGAGAAACCTATAAAGGGTGACATATATCCGAGGTGATAGGCGGTCAGCACTTTCTCACCGTGGATAGCTGAAGAACGTTGACATCGGTGACAGGCCGGTATCCTAGTGAGATCGTGAGATTGTGAGATAAGAATCTATGGGGTAAAGTAAAGTTGCGAGAGGCGGATATGATCCAAGAGGGGAAGGAACGATAGTGGAACACTCTACGTTTACTGCCTGTGACTCGACTTATACGTCAAGATCTTTAGGTTTTGAGAGAGTTCTGAGGACGGTCATACTCCGATGAGTACGTCTCAAGACGGGTCATCAAGTGTAGAGTGAGATAACATGTGCTTGCCAAAGGCTGCATAGGTGGACTGGCCATGTCCAGGTTTACGTCCTTTTATTGTTGAAAAATCGACTTTACATTCTAAGCGATGGACGTCCACAGCAAGCGCGTATGGCCCGTCGAACATAGTAGCTAAAACTATCGTCGACTTGGCGCATATAAGTCAACGTGAACGCGAAAGCTAAAAAGTTGCCTATTTAGCACAGTCTACATCGTCATCGGATGAGGCTGCAATCTTGTCTTGCTCACCGTGCAATCATCTCATGCAAGCCACTGCCGTCTGTAAGTCTCCCTAGCATTGAAACCCGTTACGAGACGTTTCACCTCTGCCCATTGGTCACCGTGTGCACCTGGCGCCTGAACACCCATGTCATCCTCCCATGCCCACATCTTCGTAAGTCCTGGCATCAAGAAGTTGAGCGCCGACGCGACGTAAATCGGGTCATCCAATGGAGAGAAGCCTAGGTGTAACCTCTCGACGTTTGGCCCGCAATTCAGCCACTTTGGAGACAGGTTGTGCTTCAACCTCATGTCAACGACGAGGTCGGCATCTTCCAGGAGTGGACAGTTGGTTAGAAGTGTCGCAAGTCCTTGAACCGTTGGCTTCTTGTGGCCATGTAGGCGCTTACAGCCGCCGAACTCGATGCTTTGTAGATTTGGCCATGACGCGGAGAGAGTCCGAATGTCTCCATCTTCGAGAGAGAAGGGGGCGGTCGTGGTGATGGATATGTTTTGGATGTTTGCGAAGAGCATCAGTGGTTTGAGACATTCCATGGTTAGCGGTAGCGCGTCTGCAATACCTTCAGTCAAGTCGCCTTCCACTGATAGATCGGTAAATTTCTGAGGGTTGACATTGAAGCCCAGCGTCTTTAGTAGGCAAGCTATATCCAGAGCCAACCCAGTTGTGCACATGGAGGCAGAGAACGAGTCTAAGGATGGTAAAAGCCCGAGAAAAGAGAGGGTAGTTGAGATGTCTCCAAGAGGGGTCTGAGAGAACCCCAAGCTTTGAAGAAGAGGGAATAATACGCCGTTGCTAGCGGGTGGTGATACTAATTCCATTTTGTGCAGAGATTGCACGTCCAATTCTTGAAGGCAAGGAAGTTTACTTGAAGTCTCAAAGAAAGATACCGTAGTTTTCGAACGCAGATTGATCACCCGAAGCGCCGGAGCATAACCAAGGGCGTCTTCCACCATGGTCAAGAATGACCTGAAATCTTTGCGGGATGCCGGACCAACAGAAAGGTAGCGTAAGTCATGGCATCCAATGCAGATCGTGGAAATGATTGACATGAACGACCTGGGGATAAAAGGGAAGTCAAGGTGGGTAAGCTTGGGACCGCAGAGAAGGCGAAGTAGGTTTCCGGGAAACAATGATTTATTTTCCCACATCAAGTGACGCAGGTTGGGAAGGATGGGAGAGTGCGGGCAGAGACAGAAAGCTTCGAACGCTTCGGCCGTGATTGCGGGAGTGTCCATAGGCTGGGACAGCCGGCGTATGCGAGAAGCGTTCTTGCGGAAGACATCCCAATCGCACACTCGCAGTGGCCGTGTCAAGGCCTGAGCCGAGCGTGATGAGTACGCGGCGTAAGCGAGACGAGTATGCAGAGTCAACGTACGAAGGCACCACCATCAGTTGACCATGAGTCGCGCGGCAGGATCTTGAAAAGACTCTCGAAGCCTACAATTTCATAGTACAATACGTCTAACGCAGGATCTTGGAACACTTTGCATGCCTGCGCTAGCCTGGCGAGGTCTCTACCTGAGTCGTTGACACGTTCCTCGTCCCACAGTTCGTTGCATATCTTGTCGAGGAGCTCTCGATATAGGTAATATGGCGGCATCTGCCGTCAAGTTCGGTACAATCAACATCATCTGTCTTCTCACAATAAGCGAACATAAGGGAGCTTACCGAGTATAAACGTTGAAACGCTGCTGGTCTAGTGGTCCCGTTGGGCGATGTGAGAGGTTCTTTGCTGCACTAAGAGTACAAGGAGTTGCAGCTATTCACTATATGGTGCCTTCGAATCTAGCTGAAGTAATGTGCTTACCTCGTCCTGCCAGTGCCGTTACTTGTTAAATTGGAATTGAGGTCGCGCGACTGTAAAGGGAGAAAAACACCGAATGCTATTTGAGGCTCCGCTCAAAAGTTCAAAGTACGAAGGTAGGCTAGGATGACATTAGGCAAAACCTCGCACTGCAGACAAACGGCGATTCTACCCGGGATGAAACCGAGAGAAAGCGGCGGCGAGATGAAAACCTTTTCCTCCGAGTTTTGGAACCCCCTTTTGCACAAGAAAAGGTATTCTTTTAGCCGACATTTGCATCAATTTTGCGCTGGTAAATTGGGCGGGTTACCGAATTTGGACTCTACCTTCCTGATTTGGATGTGTTTCTATCTAATCTCTCCGCGCAGAAATGCAAACTTCGAGGCAAAAGTCTGACTTTCCAGTAACTTTTCACACAGCAAAAGATGGGTGAAAAAGGCAGCCAGCCTCGGCGAAGTATCGGGATTCGGCACGGGCTCGCGACGCGGTCTGTTTCTCACCATCGCTCAGCGTCACCTCGGTCCACCTCCTTCTTTTCAACAGCTTAAGCCTTGGTCAAAGTTATTCTCATCATATGATTCAAGTGCTATAGACAAACCGTGGACCATTGATACAGATGACTATAATCTCTTCGACCCACCCGCGGAGTCCCTGTTCCTTCCATTCATCCTTGCTATATCCGGACTCACAAATTCACATCCCACGAACTTTTTTGTAACGATAAAATGACCTCAAAATCCGCACGATGAGTCGGCCTCCTGCAGCATCTTTGCAATCGACAAAGATGATCTCGTCGCTTCTGGGGCTCTCTGTGCTCGCCGTCGCCGGCGTGCATGCAAGCGATCCCAAGTTGTATCAACGAGCAACGTACGCAACACCGACGGCGCCTGCCGCTAGCGGTGCGTCATCTGCCCCCGCTGCTACGATCACGATCGGACCGTCGTCGGTGCCTACTCCTGGATCCGTCCCCGAGGACTACTCCCCGTCTGGACTCGAACAATTATGGGACTTTGTGAGTTGTATAATCATTTCTGTTGGACGACGATTGACGCCTAGGCGGGATCAGGTTGGGAACGTCACAGCTCCTCCATTCACGACAACCTACGAGCCGTCTCTCCCTATCCCAGTCCCGTCAGCTCCACCTCCCCTGTACCCAGCATGGTACGCGCCTCAGCCGGCGCAGATCTTCCCGAACCTCAAACTCCCCGAGGGTTTCATCTTCGGTGTCGCTACAAGCGCATACCAGGTGGAAGGCGCGGTCAAAAATGAGGGCAAGGGGCCGACAGCGTGGGACTGGGCGAGCAGGCAGCCCAACTTCATCGAGGACGGGACGAATGGTGAGTCCTATCAAACATGGAACAGGTCACTTGACCACGGCAGCGTGCTAAAATAGCTCATTCTTAGCGGATATTGCGGACCTGCAGTACTATTTGTACAAGGAAGACGTTGCACGTGCTGCTGCGATGGGAGTTACTGCACACTCCTTCTCGTATGTTTCCCCGTCGGCGGCCCGTTCTACGGAACGTGTCTTGCTAATCGATTATGCATGTTGTCTGTAGGATCTCGTGGGCCCGCATATACCCATACGGTGTCGCGGGTTCTCCAGTGAATCAGCAGGGTATCGATCACTACTCGGACTGTAAGTCCTCGGCACTGACTTCTCGAACATCATGCGCTGATTTCTCCTCGCGTGGCAAGTGATCGACTATCACCTGTCCATGGGAGTAGATCCAGTCGTGACACTCTTCCATTGGGACACACCGCTCGCGGTCAATGCATACTATGGTGGCTTCACGAATGAGCGCATTGTTGATGATTACGTCAAGTAAGTACCGAGGCTCGCAAACTAAAGACAGTATTTCATCGTACACCCTTGCTTTAGCTATGCAAAAACTGTCTTCAAAGCGTACAACGGCCGAGTCCAAACTTGGTACACGTTCAACGAGCCGTCTGTGCACTGTGGTTGGGTTGCACAGTATCCTTTCAGTATGTCGTATGTTATCCTCAGGTCTTCAACTACTGACTACTCAAAGATGTATCTCTGGCGCCCGGGGTCAACTCATCTACCGCTCCGTACCACTGCGCATATTACCTGCGTACGCTCTATTCATGTCATTGTCACCCTCTAGCTATGCTAATGAATTCATTTGGGAATGTAGTGAAGGCCCATGCTGGTGCCGTGCAGGCGTTCAGAGAAATGAACATTAGCGGCTCAATTGCGTACAAGAACAACGACCTCGTGTACGTCTTTTTCTTTTCCCTTTTCGATAGATTCTCACACAACTCACAGCGGTATGCCATGGCGCGCCAACAACCCCGAGGACATCGCCGCTGTCGAGCGCCATGCATCGTTCGGCATCGGATTGTACGCTAACCCGGTGTACACCAACGGCGACTGGCCACCTATCGTGAAGGAGACGCTCCCTGAGAGTTGGCTCCCCCGGTTTACTGAGGCAGAGATGCAGCTCATCAACGGTACGCACTCTCTATGTCTTTCGAATACGTACGTTGTTGATGATTTGCGCCAAGGCTCGGCCGACTTCTTTGCCATCGATGCCTACGCCTCGCAGTACATCGCCGCTCCTCCCGAGGGTATCACCGCATGCCAAGCGAACATGTCCGACCCCGCTTACCCTGCGTGCAACAGCGTCATGCTCTACGCCTACGCACCAGGCTACTCCGGGCTCGTCGGACGCCCAGACATCGTCGCTAATGATACCTTTATGGCGCTCGCGGGGACGAACAGCACTGTGGACGAAGTCACGCTCTCCGAGGTGCGCAAGCGTCAGTCGACGGCGAACGCCACGGATGATGCGGGCTATGGAGAGTTTGATCCCGGCCTGAGCGTGACTGGGTACCCGGACATGGGCTGGGCAGTCGGTCCGAGCCCGGATCCGGCGAGTAACGCGTGGTTGCAGGCGACACCGCAGATGTTGAGATATTACCTTGGAGAGATTTACAGGCGGTGGCCTGCGCCTTGGATCGTGCGTTATTGTCTCGTATCTTAAAAGCGTCGAGGAAAGGCACTGATGCGGTGTGGGATAGTACATCTCGGAGTTTGGGATGGCCGAGCCGTACGAGAACCTGAGGACGGAGATGTGGCAGATTACGGAGGACCCGACGACCACCAGTGCGTTTGCAATTTCTACTATCAATGGGAACGCTAACAAGAATGGCCAGACTACTTCATGACAAACCTCGGAGAGGCCCTCCTCGCGATCTACGAGGATGGTATTCCGCTTAGGGGCACGTTCTCCTGGGGTGATACTTTTGTTCACTCATGTCAGCTTACCCTTTGCTAACCTTGACATGAAGGTATGATTGACAATGCGGAGTGGAACTACGGTCTTGAGCCGAAGTGCGTTACCATTTACCTCTGAATATGAGCTCAGCTGATGCCAGGCCGACTGCAGGTTTGGCCTCCAACACGTGAACTACACGACGCTTGAACGAACATACAAGAGGTCCATGTTCGCCTTGTGTACGTATAAATGTACTCTAAGGTTTTGAAAGAACGCTCATGTTTTCCCGCAGCGGAGTTCTTCGCGGCGCACTTGGTGCCTACTGGCGGAGCAGGAAATGCTACCTCTTAAATTCACTAGATAGCACAGCTACGGACACGTTTTATCTCATTTTACTTGCCATACGTGAACGTTTGTGTTCGGGTACTACTTTCTTGTCCTTTCCGTCCGGTGTAAAAGCCTTTTGAGTGATTTACCCCTATCCCACTCATCGGCCTTTGCCGCCCGACATACACGCTCATACACGTGATGTCATAAAGAAACATCAAAAGGTTCCGTCGTGTAAGTTTGGTTTGCTTCCGACGTTCATCTTGACCTCTGGCACTTTGCGCACATTTCTATACCGCGTCTCATCTCACTCATCTCCAATTACTACTCCACCATCTGTGCGGCTCGATACACCGAACCATGGCACCCAAAGGAAAGCGAAAGCTCGCGGATGCTAACGCAGCTTGGGACACGCTTGACCTTACTGGCAACGAGCCTGCATACTATTCTTCCCAGGGTGACGCGTCCTCTAATGGGAGGAAACAGGCGTCAATCTCACCTAGGAAGGCGGTGAGTACCTACAATGTGCATTATATGGTGTGTCTAATTACGTTTTCAGTCCACTGCACACACCTCCTATGCGACCAATTCCTCTCCACCTAACTCGTATCCAACTCCTACAAGCATGCAGCACATGCACTATCCTATGGCCGCATCATCCTCGTCTATGTATCCTACTCCTCACTATCCAGCGCCCCTCCCTTCATCCTCTAAGCCCACTCAACCCACTAAGAAACGCCAACGCAAGAAAGACCCCGCGAATGACGAGCCGCCGCCCGAGAAGCGAGGGGCAATCATGAAGAAAAAGTGCCCGAAGAACATTCTCGACCGTGTAGATCGGGTAATGTCCCAGCGGTGCGTGTCTGCCATTTTACACCGGGGGAGATGGCTTAATAGGATCGACTGCAGGTTCTTCATGCTATCGCGGAGGCGTAACCCAGGAGAGTTGCGGGAAGAGTTCGGAGTGCTTGGATCAACTGGGAATGTGCGTGTACCATCGAAAATCTCCTAATCCACTGTCTAAGCCAGTGTTTGTCTCGCAGGTATACACCGTCACCATTGGCAACTTCCCGTCCTGTAGCTGCCCTGATGCCTCCAAAGGAAATCACTGCAAACATATCGTGAGTCTCTTCTTTCTGTTCGGTGATCTCTAGCTCATGTAGCGTTTAGCTCTTCATTTATCTCAAAGGTGATTGCCTCCTCTACATGATATATGATCCTTCTGAACACCGCTTTCACGAACCTCAGTCCTCCAAGTCCCACAAGAGTCACACGTATGGTATCAGAAGTGCGTCTAGCGCTCCATTTCATATATAGATGATCTAACGGTCGGGCCGTGTCATTCATCTACAGGGCGCTACTTACATCTGAACTGGACGAGATCTTCTCCCGTGCAACTCCGGCCCCCAACTCAGCGGCCCTGGCTGATCATCATATTCAAGAAGCCTATGCTCGAGCCACGGGGGCTTCGTCATCCCAGCCGTCTTCATCTTCAGGCAAGGACAAAGGTAAACCCAAAAGAAAGGAACTTGGACCCGAGGACGACTGCGCGGTCTGCTATGAGGCGATGGGCGGCAAGGGCTCAGAGAGCCTGACGTGGTGCGATGCTTGCGGGAACGCGCTTCACTCGCAATGCTTCGCAGAGTGTAAGCGTATTATCGTTGTTTTACGCCGCATATGGCTGACGTGCGTTTCTCAGGGGCCCGATCTTCTCGCGGTTCCGTTACATGCGTCTACTGCCGAGTTCCGTGGCCCAATGCGCCGATGAAAACTGAGGCGAAAAACGCAGGCGATGACAATAGGTCTGAGGGATACTTGAACCTTGCTGGCGTTGCAGGCATTAGTCCAGTCAGGGATACGAGTAGCTGTGAGCAGTCATGATGCCTTTGCATTCCTTCCAACCGACTCACTGTGTTCGTATTGGCAGACTATCACGGTTATGGTCATGGGCGACGCTACTACGGAAGTATCGACGACGATTTTGAATGAAGCCTAGCCGACAGTGTGCTAAAGAATACTGGATAAAGCCAATTATTTTAATACCACCTTAACTACCAGAATGCGATCCCGTCATTTTTGTACTCGTCATTGAAATTCATATTCATTTCTGCAGAAGTCTCCAAGAAATTCGTTGATGGCAACCAAATTTCTGCGAAAGATTCTTCTTCCTCGGCCCTGGCCAGTTCCTTCTCATACAACCTGTGCGCATAACTGGCAAACACAATAAGGTTCACTTGCTTCCATAGCTCTCTGCGCCTCTCTGCATAACAGGACGTCCGGACGTTACGAAGGTGAGGAAGTAAGTAGCGGAGGATTGATGCTACGTATACGGGATTATCTATCTGTGAGTCGCCTATGTTGAGAGTAGTGATGCGAGTGTTGCGTGACACTTTGGACCCAGTAGTTTTGTAGGGGACGGTGGCGTTTATGGTCAGATTGATATCCTCGAGCAGGAGGCATCTTTGCAGAAGAATATCAAGCCCTTTGAAGGTAACCGAGCTAAAGTTCCTCGAGCCAGAGAGCCCAGTCGACATGGCGTGAGCATGGAACACTCGAAGGCTCGGGAAGGAGTTGGCTAATGTCGCGAGGGTATCGTCGTTTAGGTAAGGCAGGGATGATGACCGCATGATCAGCTTTTGTAGATGGACCCAGCTCGTCATAGGAATGAATGAGGAGAAGTCAACACCTTCAGTAGCATTGGCAGCATTGACATCTTCGTTTGGGTTATCATCAATTGGCCACCCAATGTCGAATTTTGATTCCTGTAAGGTGAAAACGGAGAGTGCAGCGTGGTCAAAATGGCGATTTTTAGCTTCTAATATTCCTTTGATGTGAATCTGCGGGTTGCCGACGTCTAAATACTTCAAGACCGAAACGTTGGGCAGATATCCAATGTGACCAAGTAATGTGGGGATACTGCTGGAAGAAGCGCGAACCAAGCAGATGCTTCGCAGGCTGACCCATTGATTGTTCCCATTGACGCACTGCTTAACCGTATGTGATACCTCAAACGATCGAGTTGTTAAGTCCTGGAGTGCCAGCTTCGATATAACACTCAGAAGGGAGCAATCAGGAGCAATATCCAGGTCTAAGAGTCGCAGGTTCGACATATGGGGTAGGGACTCCATGAGAACCTGCCGGAAGTCTCCAACATCGCTATTGTTATGGATATGGACATGGAGTTTTTGCAGGCCGGAACAGCTTACGCCGATGGCTGATACAAGTGGAATGAAGTTGGATGGGATCCCGCGCATCCCTAAAACGGCGATGTTGGGGCTGCACAGGCATCGGATGAAGTAACCCGGAAGATCAGCTTTTGATTCAGCCCAGTAGATGGCTCGAAGATTTGGCAGTAGTGGGAGGTGGGGTGAAAGAGCGATCGCTTCATATACATTCTTCCGTAACTTGACGGAATCCTCGGGCTGGAACATTCTTTTGATGCGATGAGAGTTCGCATCGAAGATCTCCCAGTCAGATAGCTTCAGCTTTCTAGAAAAATGCTTAAATGGCAACAGTAAGGGTGCCTATCAAGTATATTTTGATGCACCGGTACGCACGAAAGTTCCGTGATCGCTCAATCTCCAAGTATCACGAGGAAAGAGCATGAAGAGGCGATCTAACCCTCGGATCTCAAAGTAAACAGCATTCAATGATGGCTCTGTGAAGAGCTTGCAGGTTTGGGCCAATTTAACAAGAGATCTGCTGGATCTATCGATATCGTCGTAGTTCATTACTTCACCACAGATCTTATCGAGTAACTCTGGTATCTGGAAACAGTCGTGCATTGTTGTCAATCTGCACATGTGGATATAATGAAAGTTGATCAACATCTCATCTACGAGTGATCGAACATTAACGACGATGCGTACCGTGACCGATCCTGGGACTGGATGACCACTCTGTGCTGGGTGATGCGTTACAGGTCCGTCAGAGTCGTCCGCGTCAGCAGGGAGGACCGAACCACTTCGGAGTTTGAAGTTTTAACCCCGAATTCACGGGTGCCGGCCGACCCCACCAACGCTAAAAAAAGGTCAGTTAAGGGAACGAGGGTATAAGCTCTGGTCGATAGAAGCATAGACATAAATGCAAACTCGCGTTACTTGTACAGACAGTATACATAAACCAGGACTCCATATGGAACATCGAATGTATACGTCAGTGGTAAAGCCCTATCATCAAGTATGCAGCGTCTCTCTCTCAGCATGTGTTTCTGAGATAAGCCTATTCACCTCCTTCCACCGTTTTCTGTAAGTTACGGACGCCTGCTGCGAGACCCACTGACTGTTCCAAGCACGCACTACTAGAGGTTTAGCTGTTAGGGAAACCAGGAAAGATGCGATAAGCTGGATGTCGGAATGTTCGATTGGCGCACAGCCTATAGATAATGTCGAGAGATTCTGGTGACGACGATCATCAGCCAACTGCGAGATTTCGCAACGAGTGCGAATGTCGATGGAGATGTTAACGTCGCTCAGCTGGGGGCAGTTATGCGAGAGCGTTTTGATCCCCTTGAGTGTCGGTTTCTTGTCGTGATACCAGTTGGCCTGGTCTCCTCCCTCCAGTGTGAGATGACGAAGCTTCGGCCAGGACGATGAGAGGCTTGAGATATCGTCATCGTCCAAAGAGAACCGTATGCATGTCACGATAGATATCGTTTCGATGTTGACAAATGGTTTCAACAGACCGAGACACGTCACATCCAACGGTGTGGCAGATGGAACGAACCCGCTGATCGAGCCTAAAGACACAGCCGCTAGGCGAGCGGGGTCTAGTTGCGACGCGATAGATCGGATTACGTGCTCTACGCCCTCTTCGGAGATAGAGATGCCCTCGAACGTCTCTACCCGAGGTAACCTCCCGATGACGTCCAGAGTCCTCGCAATTGCTGGGAAAGGAGAATGCCAGATACTCAAGCTATCAATGGACGAAAATGAGAAGTTGGTATCCTGGGAAGATGAAGACGACCATATCTCGGGATCCGTAAGCGCTCGTATCTTGAGCTCTCTGAGTGATGGAAGCTTGTCGATTACTCGTAACAAAGTCAGGCTGGACATAACATAGAGCGATAGCTTTCTCAGAAAGTGCATTGTGGGTAATGCCTCCTCTAAGGCACGCTGATGGATGTCCGAGTCTTCGAAGTTTGCGGGATCCACTTCGAGCTCGCGTAGATTTTGGCAAGTAGCGCTGATTGTGGAAAGGGAAGGGAAGAACTCGGTTGGCACGTAAGAAAGGTCCAGATTTTTCACTCTAGGGCCGCAGCAAAAGAGGACGAAGTTGCTGTGAAATGCCTCGCAACCCCATTTTAGACTTTGAAGGCCCAGGAAGAGAGGGTCTGGGGAAAGGCAAATAATGTCGTACGCTTCCTCTGATAGCTTCGGCGACCCTCCTTTAGGTTCGAATAGTCTTCGTACACGACGCGAGCACCTGAAAACGCACTCCCAGTCACTCGCTTGAAGCGGCCGTGTAAACGACTGTGAACCCGATAAACCGAAGTGAGTTTCTAAGCCACTGAGCGAAACAAACAACAAGGAAACGTACGAAAGCACCGCCTTCATTAATCACCCAAGAATCTCTTGGAAGCGTCATGAAAACCTTGTAGATTCCCATAACCTTATAATACAAGGCATCCAACGCAGGATCATGGAAAAGGTTGGAGACGCGCGCCAGCCGAGCAAGGTCTCGGGTCATGCCGTAGTAATATGATTGCGATCTGACGTGCCAACAGACCTCGTAGAGTATCTCTGCGACGCGAAGGCAGTTGTGCATTGTAGACTAGCCGGTTATGCTGCCCGGGTTTAGCATTACTTCTGTTTTTCAACGGGTCCCATGGCTCACCTTCAAGTTTCAGGCCTTGGGGTCGACACGACTTCTCGCGGCAACGATGCCCTCCAAGACGTGGTGAAGGTATGGTGGAGATATGTTGGAGGTACAACGCTTGTGCCTTCGGTGGTTTGCAAAATATTCAAGCTCCGCCAGTAAATTCTGGCTGACCATTCGGACGGAAGTTTGTTTCTGCTGCAGAGTGTTTTTTGTTTCTAGCGACGTCGGACGTCATGAAGACTTTCACGGATTGTAGTGGATGAAGGGTGGTACTGTATACACGTGCAATGGGTTTCAAACGTGACTTTCGGAAGGTTTACCCTGGAAATGACATCCCTTCCGCTGAGGGTACTTCCCCATATGCGGGTTCTATGTACAGCCAAGGGCGGCGCTTTCTCCGTATCTTTCCAGGACATCTCTCAGATGCTTCTCAGTACGTTCCTTACTCAAGGTTCAGTGCAACCATTTGCGCCACCACAAGCACCAGCCTTACCGGCACATTCAGATACCGGCTCCATGAGGTGTACGTTTTAGACGCCCATATGGGCTTGCTCCATCTTGCGTACATCGAACGTTCGCTAGGGTCGATCGTGACCTAGGCTAAGCTCTTCCTGAATCCTTGGCGTCATGTCTTGGATAGCCACTAACGGGGGTTCGCCATGTGGAAGACGGCTTTCTATAGCCGACCCACAGGTCTTTGGAAGTATGTATGTCCCTGCGAGATACGATCCCGCGAACCTTCACGTTCTTCGGTGCGGCGCGACTAGTGCCGGTGGGCGCTTCGTCCTATCATAGTGCAGGAGCTACTAATCTCTGAAGGTGTCATATGGCAGATAGTGCAGAACTCAAAGCTTGGCATAGTTCTTCTCCGATGTTATTGGATGCATTTCCTATAAAGGCTCGGACTCTTTCATCCATCCAAACCCTCCGTCTCTTTGCTCTGCGACATGTCTTCCACCGCAGCGGTATCTGTGGTACAGAATGTTGAAAGCTTCATGCTGTCAAGCTTTTTTGTGGGTGAGTAAATAATGCCGTGATTATCATAGAATACGGGCCTGACCTTCATAGTTTCATTGTTCACTCTCGTCTTATACGACTACGGTACGCATATTCCTATCATTAAGTGACACAATCCGAATATCCACCCCATAAGCATTGAATGTTCCGCTGGAGGTGAGTAAAGGTTTTTTTCCTGAGGAAGCGCCGAGTTTGAGACATGCAGGTTGATATAATATGGGTGAGGAGAATAGCTCTCCGATGTCTTCTGAAAGCTAAGCGTTGGTGTAGACCAAGCGTCGCCCTGGAATGGCGTTCACATATGGAATTGTTAGTTCGCGCATTATCGTCCTTGGTCAAACATTTGCTCAACTTGAGTTCGATAAGCTTCGCTACTTCGGCCTGATATTTTCCGCGTAAGTCATTGCGTGACTTGCTCCAACTACACAGTCATAATCTTCGGACAGGGCTATGCTTCGTACGTCAGAACCATCAGCCCGCCGAATCACTTCTGAGTTAGTGTAGTGATGAGCACAAACGTTCCTCTGTCCAATGAAGTGCGTATTTGATTTCAGTGATGTCCATTGTATGTCTCAGCTTGCTTCAGATGTACGTTTAGCTGCTTTCAAAGGCACATTTGAAGGATCAACAATGGTTATTTCTTCTAGGTGTAAGCTGACTTCCGTTTTTCTTTGAATCACCTCTCAGAAATGGGTTCCAGGTTTCTTCGTAGGCGCACTCACAACAGCACTGGAAGCAGTGATTGTTTTTTTTGTGCAGGGTAATATCTATATTGGTGGTTTGTGTCAGTTTTAACCCATAGTCCCAGCGATGATGGCTTTACGCGTGTGCGCGTTACTTGGTAGACCAAGGAAAGTTATCGTCATACTCTCAGTTGCGTTCGCTCTTGTGCAGGCGGGAAATCTGACGCAAGCCGTCATCATGGTTACTTCAGGGTCTCAAATAGCATGTGAGTTTTGTCGAAGGCTCATCAATGCACGTGTAGCTAACAGCCTGTCAGCTGAAATACGGCTACAAGGAATCGATGCCTGCTTATACAGCTATACGCCCGCTGATAAGCTCTCCACTGTTGTTGTCTACGGAATGTTAGCCGTATTTGAGGCTATCATGTTCGCATTCGTCGCCTATTACGTTATGAGCAACCTCTCCGCTCCGTTTTGGCGACATCCAGCGACGTCCGTCGCTAGTCTGGCTTCAATTATTGTGCGAGACAATCTCATTTGGTTTGTCGTGTACGTACCCTCCCTCGTTTCTGAGCGCCTAGTCTCACAGGCCGTCCGCATAGTGCTTTCATAAGCTCACTGCTCGCCGCCGTGAGCGAAGTACCTATTCTACAATCGGTCAGTCACACTTACTTTATTTAAGACACGTCGTTGACTATTACCCGTAGTCACTAGCGTATATGGTTATTTTTTCGTTCTTCGAATTCGTTACAGTTGCGATGGTCGGTCCGTGGATGATTCTCGATCTATGCAAGGAGCATAAGGAGAGTTCACACAGAACAACTGAGCTGAACGGGATGACTACAGTACAGTTTGTTGTTGACACGCCTTCTACAGAGTCGACTCTATGTAGTGTCTGACTTTGGTTTGTGACAAATCAGTGCGCATTCAAAGACCTTCTTTGTAATATGTGCATAGTACGTTGCTAAGATTTATTGCAACAGTAAGGTTAAATCTCCTTTTGCCAAGTGACGATACCGAGTGACGAAATCCAACCAGAAGTAAACGCTCAAAACTGATTTGTCTACTTATACAATCGCCATCTAATTTTACCTCTTCTAACGCACATCAAATGTTAGACCTACCCCTCTACTCTCCCCGTCTTCCGAATCATACTCTCCCGACCCGGGCCAACACCTATCCACTCGACGGGGGTTTCGAGGAATCGCTCGATGAATCCTATGTACTTCTTACAGTTGTCCGGGAGGTCTTCGAACGTCCGCACATCCGTGATGGGCGTCTTCCATCCGGGCAGAGTAACGTACACGACTTCGACTTGGGACAGATCTTCGAGATCAGCTGTGCAGATGACAATAAAGTCGGTCATTGAGGTCGTGTGGGTGACATGAGAAGCGAAACAAAGAAGAAACGAGGAGTATCGCGTTGGTCCTTAGAGAATCAAGATCGTGGAAGGAGACGTACCAGGGAAATACGGCAGCTCTAGATCGTTGACCATGTACTTGACCGCGATTTTTACCTCCTCGAGGTCGTCGAGCACATCGAGCTTGGTAAGGTTGAGCGTGTCGTACCCGTTTACAAGACACGAGTGACGCATCACGACGAGGTCCAGCCAGCCAGTGCGTCGCCTTCTACCAGTCGTCACGCCCCATTCACGGCCGACTTCTTGGAGGTGATTCCCGATGTCCTACGAATGTTGCATAGCGCGTCAGCATTTCTCGGATAGGATGGGAGAAGTAGGATATATGTAGGGGTATGAGAAATGGAACGTACGTTCAGCTGTTCGGTAGGGAACGGCCCACCGCCTACACGAGTGGTATACGCCTTGACGACACCTATTGTCTTTCCAATTCGACGAGGGGGTATTCCGAGGCCGGTGAGTACGCCTCCGATAGTGGTACTTGACGAGGTGACGAAGGGGTAGGTGCCAAAGTCGATGTCGAGCATGAGCGCATTAGCACCCTCCACCAGGACGCGCCTGCCTTCAGAGAGACTCTTGTGAATATGTGCGACGGAGTCAACGACGAAAGGCTTTAGACGCTGGGCGAGTCCCTACGCGCATAAAGCACGGTTAGCCGAAGGCAAGTGAGGGATGAAGGCACGAATGAATGATACAATCGGGGCAGGAAGAAAGCGCACCTTATACCGCTCAATCTCTCCTTCGGTATCATACTCGAAGTTTCCGTACCGCTTGAACCGCCCTTCGACGACCTTGCGGAACTTCTCTGGGAACGTATCATTGTCGAAGAGGTGGTGCACGCGCAATCCGGAACGAGACGCCTTTCCCGAGTAAGCCGGGCCGATGCCCTTCTTGGTCGTGCCTATGCTCGACCCGCCGAGCTCTACTTCCTTGAGACCGTCGACGATCTGGTGGAAGTCGAAGACGAGATGGGCGCGATCGGAAACCAAAATACGCTCTTTGCACTCCAGACCTAGATGAACATTATCAGCAAGGCTGATAGGCGCGCATATATGACGCGTAACGTGGGAGCACAATGACGTACCTTTCTTCTCAAGCTCGTCGAGCTCTTCAAAGAACGATGGCAGATGCACGACGACGCCCGATCCGATGATTCCAACGCACGACGGGTTGACAAGACCGCTAGGCAGAAGGTGGAAGGCGTATGTGACGGGTTTGCCGTCCTTGCCCGGAGCGACGATGGTGTGACCGGCGTTGTTACCGCCTGCGCAGCGCGCGCAGAGGTCGAACTCGCTCGAGAGGATATCGACGAGCTTGCCTTTGCCCTCGTCACCCCATTGGGCACCGAGGACAACGGTGACTACGTGTCGTTGTGAGATTGTGATGAAAAGATTGAAAAGCGCAAGTATGGGGACGTGGAGAAGTCAAGCAGGGGAGAAGCGTGGTATGAGCACAATCTAAACTTACCGGTCCCTTTATCGCCTGTTAGGCCACTCATGAGTAAAGTGGCGGCAAGGCGAAGTTGGTACGTCTAGCGAGTGAGATCGCTGTACGGCGGGGCGGTATATCTAATAACAAGTGAGATGGTTGACCAAGTCAAGAGATTCTCAACAGCGAGCTTCGGAGTCCCAGATCAGATAACGTGGCGGAACGGGAAGCTTTTCGGCCGACCCCCATCCCGTTCCGGATGATTCGGAGTCTCTCCCCGGATGTGGCTCGTGACCATTGTGACGGCGCTCGGGAATTGCCGCTAGCGGCTTTTCGCCTCCGCTCCGCATCATCACGCTCTCCTCAGCTTGCGTTTCCATCGCACCACCGCGTCCCCGAGCTCGTTCTTGAGTAGTGCATTCTTCTCTGACTGTGACTGACGGAGCTTGTTTTCGGTGGTGCGCTCGTCTCACGTTACTCATTAACTCTTGGTCATCATCTGGAAGGCCAACGCATGGGCTTGCATCACTGATCCGTTGATCTTCTCGCTGGTCTTCCTCACTTCCCCTCGTAGTTCAATTCCGCACTTCATAAGGGTAGGAAAGAGCGCGGTCCGAGGGGTCTTGATCATTGTCAGGACTTTGACGTTTTGCTCGCAATAGAACAACGCGCCGATTTGGCTCCCCCTATTGTGGGTTGTCTTGCGCCACGACGCAGGATTGTGCCGATAATAGATACGAGGACTGGTTACGCATAAAACCATCGACATCGAGACCCTCATACGTCAACACATCTTAACGTCTTTAATTCCATCCCTATGCCATCTACAACCCTCATCACCAACGTCCGCGTTTTCGACGGACAGACCCTCACACCTCCTCAGAATATCCTCATCTCCGACACTACCATCGCAGATCCCTCATCTCTCTCCTCATCCTCACCCGATTCAACTGTCGACGGCGCAGGCTTGACCCTCCTTCCCGGCCTCATCGACGCCCATGTCCATATCTCTGAGCACGAGGAGCTGCGCACGCTTGCCACGCACGGTGTCACCACCGCGCTTGACATGGCTGCCTGGCCCGCGGAACGCATCAACGCCCTCCGCAACCAGCGCGGCCTGACCGACATCCGCACAGCGGGCGCGCCCGCGAGCACACCCAACAGCACGCACACGTGTCTGTTGCATCTACCCGAGTGCTCTCAGCTCACTGGCGCCGACATGGCAGAGGCGTTCGTAGAAGATAGGATCCGGGAGGGCAGCGACTACATCAAGCTTATCGCAGACGTGCCAGGGCCCTCGCAGGAGTTGCTCGACGCCCTGGTCGCGGCGTCAGAAAAACGGGGCCTGCTCACGGTCGCGCACGCTGCTATGTCCGTGCCGTATGCGATGGCGCAGAAATCTGGGGCAAGGGTAATCACGCACGCTCCGCTTGACGCGCCCCTATCTTCCGCGAACGCAGAGCAGATGAAGGCAGCAGGACGTGTC